AGCAGAGGTGAACAGGTGAGGCATTTTATATTTTCTGTATGTTCCCTCCCACCAAAACCTTTACAGAATCTATCAATTTACAGTCTCTCAGCTCCATATTCACCCTGAAGTGTCTCTCCCACTGCTTTCTGGCAGCTGCTCCATCAGTAAACAAGGTAGGTATGAAGACATCTGGTGATGCTCTTCCCTAGTCACAATCTCAGAATATATGGTTCTCCTTGGCACTCACAGACCTTGGCCAGGCTGATGATCACCTTCCTTCAACCCTTCCAACACAAACACCTCATGTTCCAGATGTCCCGCCAACACTTGAGATGTCTCCGTCTCTGTGTGCTCACACACTCAGTAACTAGCTACAGCTTCCCTGAATCTTGGAGGGTGTTTTCCTAGTAGCCTAGTGACTAAAGACCAACTCTGGTCTAGGCAAACCAGTAAACTCTGCCATCCAATGGGCTGCAGCTACCCCTTCTTAAGGCAGGCCTGAACCCAAATCTTAGGCCCCTTACTTCCAAGAGGTATCCAAGTACCTCTTCCTTCAGTACCCTCCCTCAGCTCTGGGTTACCATATAGAATTCTCATATGTCTTTTTTCTTTTGCCACAGTTTAAAAGTTTTTTAAAGGGGCGCCTGGGTGGCTCAGATTAAGTGTCTATCTTCAGCTCATGGGATCGAGCCCCCCATCGGGCTCCCTGATCAGCCAGGGAGCCTGTTTTTCCCTCTCCCTCTGCTGTTCCCCATTTGTGCTCTCACTCTCTCTGTCAAATAACATTTTTTTAAAAACTTTTTTTATATTAAACTTCCCTGTTATAATCACTAGGTGGCTTCTCTTTCTAGATTGGACCCAGACTGATACTTTCCCACCAAGCAGGCTCAAAGAAGCAATACAATGAAAATCAGCCACTGAAAGTTTTTCCCAGATGAGGTCCTAAATCTGTAAAATAACTTGTATATCTGATGAAATGCAAAATATATAAAAACTAAAAAATCTTAGCTTTGAGGGTTCAAAAGGTTAGGCTTATAGATATGTCATCCAAAATACTTAAACATGTTGATCCTATTTGATAAACAGTGGCAGCAACATCAAAAAACAAATAGGTTTAATTTACCTCATTTTAAGGATTTGCAGAACATCACATAAAAAATACGGTTTCTCCTTTCTTAAGCCTACAATCTAATAGAGAGAACTAGGCTTAAAATCATCATTCATTTTAAGTTTACATGTTCCTAGTTATACAATGTAATGAGTAAGAGTTGATATCATAAAGTAGATAAAAATCAATCCTCTAACTTTTGAGACATTTTCTCCTCTGGAGATACAATGTGGTAAAGAAACACTGTTCAATACAAGAACAAGAAATATAATAGCTAAATGAGTGATGGGTAAGGAAAAAGGAAAGCCAACCTATCAAGTCTGGAAAAAATGTTAGAATATGTGGAAAAGAAAGTACAACATTCAGTCAGAACTTTAAATGATAGAGTAAGCTTTACATAACCAGAATGAAAGAAAACTGTTTCAAGTCTAGGAAATAATATGCACAAAGGTGAGAATATATGTAGAAAGTCTGGGAGAATATGAGTAAAGCAATTTAACTGCAGCAAATTTTTTTTTTTAAGATTTTATTTATTTATTTCACAGAGACAGCAAGAGCAAGAATACAAGCAGGGGGAGTGGGAGAGGGAGAAGCAGGCCTCCCATGGAGCAGGGAGCCCAATGTGGGACTCGATCCCAGGACCCTGAGACCATGACCTGAGCCGAAGGCAGACGCTTAACGACTGAGCCACCCAGGCACCATAACTGCAGCGAATTTCTGAAATAAATTAGTAATGTTACAGTGGTGGTATTACAACAGTGTCTTGCAAAGACCAGTCAGCCTGTCTTCAATCCAAGGGCTGAAGGTGAGGGGAAGGAATGTTTAAGGTTGAAACAGGTTGTTAGGAGGCAAACAGGAGTTAAGGTAATGAAGGATGGATAGAAGCTGTTGTATTTGTTACATTGTTAGAAAAGTTGCTACATTGTGAGAAAAGCTGTTAATACAAGTTTGGTCTAGAGTTAAGGACAATGCAGAACAAACTGGGAGGGTAAAACGCAAAGATACCTTTGCTCAAAAAAGGAAAATGATCTTAGTCACAGGTGAAAATAAAGAAGAAATAAAACAGAGAAATAGGAAAGGAATAATTTCAAATGTCATGGGGAAAAAAATGTAACAATACAACCTGAATATATGTTCGGGTTTAGGCCTAGTTTTGCACCAATCATTATATGATAGGCACTACAACCCAACAGGACACATAACCATGTATAAAACATCCAGTTGATACATGGAATAGAATGATACAATCTTTCACATTTGAAGACACTTCAGTTGCTCAGAAATTATCAATTTTATTTGCCTTTTGCTTCTTTTGTCTCTTTTCATGATACTTGCCTTTTGGCAAGTTCACTTCTTCATAGCCACCAAATAGGTTTTAAGACACAGTTAACATTGGAACAGGAAAGATGAAACAAAAATTCAAATCCATAAGTGATTTCATGTATTCAAAACATAAGGGGGAAAATATTGTCATGACTTATCTTTAAAAAAAAATTTGTTAGAACTGTATGTAATAAGATGTTATCCTAAACATTAAATATAACACCAAAAAAAATCCACATTTATAAATTTCAACAAGAAATAACAAAACTAGAGAGACATATAACCCAAACAAACCCAAGACAGTGTTCCTTGATTTGGTCAGAAACCTCTATGAAGTTGATATGTGCTAGCACAGAAATACTTAATAGTAAAGTTCCTACTGATAATAAAGAACATACAGTTGAGTTTTGAGTCTTCATATACTCCTCACACCTTTATCCTTTGATCTAAAAAATTTTGGAATTAGGTTTGTTAAATTTTTTTCATACTTAACTAAAAATTTGAAATGTCTTTTTAAAATTCCTTTTCTACCTAATATTTTTAAATATACCTAAAAGAAAGGGGTTGATAAAAATTTATATTCTCACTGCAATTTTTAAAACCTTTGTTACCATTGTCTGCTTTTAATTTCCAACTCAGCAGTCTCAATACTGTTGTCACCCTTTTACCCCTGGAAAACTCAAAATAAAAAATACTGAAATATTTAACATGTAATTAAATCAATTCTTTAGACAATTTCATGAACATTTATCATTTAGCTTTTTCTTAGTTGAGGGGCGCCTGGGTGGCTCAGTCGTTAAGTGTCTGCCTTCGGCTCAGGTCATGATCCCAGCGTCCTGGGATCAAGCCGCACTGGGCTCTCTGCTCAGCGGGAAACCTGCTTCTCCCTCTCCCACTCCCCCATTTGTGTTCCCTCTCTTACTGTCAAATAAATAAAATCTTAAAAAAAATTTTTTTCTTAGTTGACTCTCATACATTTCTTTTATTAAAAAGTTGGAATTAATTGTTTCAAAATTAATTCCCTTTTTAGGTAAATGACTAAGCTTCCATATTTAACACAAAAGGAAAATACTCCTTTAATAAGTATAATCAAGTTTCTTAAAATACTAGCTATAATATAAAAATTTAGAAGGCTTATCTTATTTAGCATTGGAGATATTTTCTTGCAAATGACAGCACTAACCAAATCAGTGCTGTTCAGTCATTATAGCATAATACCTTTGGAAATACTTTTTAGGCATACTAAATACTAAGTCTGATCAACATATATGCAACTAGAAGTTTATTATCTGATGCATTCATCTTCTCTGCTTTCTATAGAATCAGTGGATTTGGCTAAGCCTGGAACATGATCAACCCAGATCCACCTCATGTTCACCTACTTAAAATCTGCATTTTTGACAGCCATCCATACTTTCATCATCAAAGTAATACTTTGTTTGATTATATGCAAACTATATGTTTTGAAGAAAACAATAATCAGAAAATAGAATGCTGGTAGCAGAAATAATGGAGTAAACATAACAAACTTAATGGCAAGTGACTCTCAAACTGGGCAAAAACAATTGTACGGTGGTAACTCTGACTCACTGGCCAAGAAAAAAAATGACAGGGATCACTCTATAGTTTTTGACATGTAAGCTCTATAGCAAAGCTCTTACATAGTGCTTTAAACTTGAGGGGAAAAACAAAAATCTTCAACACAATGTACTTAGAAACTCCTATTTGACAGTAAAGCTACCTAGCAAAGGGGCTGCGATTTGGGCAATGCTAATTTGTACTATTTGTATACAAACACTCATGTTCTTTCAACAAGCTTTTAAAATATGCTTTATGATTTAATTCCTACTTTTGTTGGTAAAGATGCTTTCTTGTTTATTAGAAGTTTACTTGGTAGAAAATGCAAAATTATACAGCTCTGTTGAGTTCCAGCTAGAGACAAACTTTACAGATTGTTTTAAAGAAAGTTCAGCTCTTGGGGCGCCTGGGTGGCTCAGTTGGTTAAGCGACTGCCTTCGGCTCAGGTCATGATCCTGGAGTCCCGGGATCGAGTCCCGCATCGGGCTCCCTGCTCACCAGGGAGTCTGCTTCTCCCTCTGACCCTCTCCCCATCTCATGTGCTTTCTCTCTCATTCTCTCTGTCTCTCAAATAAATAAATAAGATCTTTAAAAAAAAAAAAAAAAAAAAAAGAAAGTTCAGCTCTTACAAAACAGCTTTATAATACAGAGTTGCTTTTGGATTTTCCACATTCATTTTAAGTTTACTTAACAAATTGCATACAGCAATTGGTCACCGATCTCACAATTTTTACTAGTTTGAGCTAACCTCAAAACTAAAATTTGGGAAATAATATCAAAATATTAAATTATCAAATATACTCCCAAAAAAATGTTTTGTAACCCATCAAGTGATATCAAAATTATCTTACACAGAATCAAAATCAAAGCATTAATTAAATGAGTTTTTCTTTTGGATTTCACAACATAAAACATTCCTTTTAGCACTGTATCATCCCATTATTAAATTAATGTTATCTGCAAATACAACATATCTTAAATATTTATAAAAATTAAAAGCAACATACTTCTATATGGATAAGATACACAAGAACAATTTTGATATTCCTCTAGCCTACTTAAATGGAGATGCTAATTATATCAAAATGTCTACTTAAGAGATTTTGGATAGAAACAAGGAAGAGTTTCTTAATAATCTAGAACTAGATGATAAAATGATGAGGATGCTCAAGAAGATTAAGTGCACATAAGCTTCAATAACAGACATCATCCACCTTTGAATATTGGACATTTGCTGGCCTGAAGACCAAAGTCAGACTGTAGGACACAGTATGGGTCCTTCCAGTTCACATTCTGGTATTTTGGCATTAAATGAGGATAGGTCACAAAACCTATGCATATTTTCAAGTTTGTTTTTTAAAAAATATATAATACTTGAACCAATCACAGAATAATGTATGGCTTATAATTTCTTTGTCAGTTTAAGGAACAGGAAAAAAAATACATCTTTGTTCTGTGATGACTATTTATTGGTTGGACTGTTTTATTTTCCTCTTCACATTTTCGGTGACTGTTTCCCACTGGTATCATCAACCAGGTCTCTCAGGCGAGATAAATGGTGCAAAGCCCTTCATTAAAAAGTATAAAACATATTATAAACCAATATTAAGGATTAAACAGACAATGCAGACAGCAACAAATGGTGATTACACTGTTTATTAACTTCAAAATTAGTATATGAGAAATGAATTATAGAGTCAGTGTCAAATATTTAGAATTTTTCTTTATAAAACCTTGAGATCTGAATAACTGAGGGCTAAAATAATTCATTTAAATTTTATAAACATTTACTTTAAAAAATATATTTTTGACATTCACAGGATTTTTTTTTGAAAGTTTGCCACAAAGTTTAATAATAATAGGTTTTATTTGTGTCACACTTAACAAAACATTTTTTATGTCATTTTCACAATAGCTCTGTGAAATTATACCTTTTCTTTTGGAATACTGTTTATATCATTTAAGAAAAAAGTACATTAAGATGTACATTGAGAATAGCTAAAATTTAAAAAATAGCACTGAAGGATCAGTTACAGTTGAGGAAAACTCATTTTTATTGTGGATAAGGGGAAACAAATGACAATTATGTGGTATTAAACAAACAACCAGATTTTTTCTCTAAAATAAAGCTAAGATTATAGGTCAGGTCTCAGTGGAGAAAATTTAATCATACCTCAAACAAACCAAGAAAAAGGAGTCCCTTAACTTTCCAGTCTTCCTCTAAAAATATCTTTTTTAGATCTTCCTCTATCTTTTTTATAAAAAATATCTTTTTTATCTTCCTCTAAAAAATACTCTTCCTTTTTCCTCTCCCCTATTACTCATTCAGATCCTTAAAGACCACCCAGAAAATGTCAGTTAATCAACCATTTTTCAGATCTCTGATAAATAAGAGACCAACAAAAACAAATAATGTAACAATTATGATGTGCAATAATCTGTTAGTAATTTCTAAATTGAGTTGAAAGGTGGTGACTACAGTACCCTATTTTTACGGTCTCTAACACAGGTTTGATAAATTTATATTAAATAAAATACATCTTCCACTTGACTCAGGATATGAAGATGGAAGAAACTAGTACTGTTAATTACTGCATTATATCTATTTCCCTGTACTCTATTTCTTGGACACTTACTCAAATGTAGTAAGAATCTGGATTTTCTCACCCTTTTGGCAATTTCAATTAATTTTTGAGATTCTCATCTTCATTAACTAAATGACAATAAATCACCCAAAGTTACTATGCAATCAGAGGTAAAATTAATTAGACTCTATCATTTCTACATCCTATAGTAATAACTCTTTACCTAAAAAAATCACTTTCTTTCTAGAGACACACATTTATGAGAAAGAAGATAGTCTATGAATATACTTTGGACTTACATCTATCTTTTTCTTTTCAGGCTTATTATTTAGCAACCTATGATTCAAAAGAGGGGCACCTGGCTGGTTCAGTCAGTGGAGCGTGAGACTCTTGATCTTGGGGTTGTGAGTTCAAGTCCCACACTGGGTATAGAGAGTGCTTAAAAATAAAATCTTAAAAAAAGGAAGGAAGCAGGGAAGGAGGGAAGGAGAGAAGAAAGGGAGGGAGGGGTAAGCAGCTAGCATCTTATCTCACTGTTTACAACTCTGAGGGCCACAGATCCCTTGGATTTAGATGGTTGACAAAATTGGATGCGGGAAAAAATCCTCATCTTTATTTTCACTAAATGCTACCTGTAAATTAGCACTTCCTTCCATTATGAGTGTAAGCAACAGACCAAAATCGGTGACCTCATATGCCACAGAAATTAGAGATATTTTTCTATCACACTGTAGTCATTGCAGGTATCTCAAAACAGTTTTGATATTCACCACTACTTAAAAATTACAACAGTTGTATATAATAGTTACAAAATTACATTAATTATTAACCCCATTGCTAAAATATATGTATTCTAAGTCTTTCTGCCTACAGTCCAAAAGTTCATATACATAACTGGTGACCCAGTTCATATGACATCACTGGTGATCCAGACATTGATGCTTTCCAATATTCCCTTTCTCTGTTTGCTGATCAACATTGTGAAAGGTAAATAAAAGACCACAGCACGGTTTAATGCTTTTATTCAAGTTATGTAAAAGGCCTTCACATAATATGTTTTTATAAAATGAATTTTAACTTACCTGTATTTTAAATGTCTTATTTAAATGCATTAACAAAGAAGCACGTATTACTAATTAGAAATTTATTCTAACATTTTCATAACTATAACTCAATATAACTGGCTTCCTTTCTAGTCCTATTTCATGTCTTTAAAAAACAATGTTAGGGAGAAAGGAGAATGATGGGAAGGAAAGGGAGGAGTGTAGTATGATGGGAATGAAAAAAAAAGCTAAGCAGAAATGCGAAATCTTCAGTCCCCCTATACAATCAGCTAGCAGTTCCTTTCATTTAACTTTTATCTGCCCGGCTAAGAATAAGACAATCAATCTACTTAGAGAAGAGGCTATCAAAAGTGATTTGCTATTATGTGTAGGGACAAGCGCAGAATAAAATTATAGGAGGAAATTATTCCTGAGTTTCTTCTCCAAAAAGGTGAAAAAGCAAGCTAATGAGGAAAATATCAATTTAAGAGTTATGTTACATAAAACACTGAATAGTCATTCACCTTAAAAATTGAAATAAAAAAACTCATGTCTTATTATGAAAAAGTATCTATCAATGAGCATAAATAAATAGAAATCAACCCACAGAAACTCAGTAACAGGCTAATTATATGAAGGCAATTTAACTATATTTTAACTTACTGATATCTTGCATCTGGTTTCCTATTAGTACTGCTATACTGGCTGTTCTTAAATACTGTTTACCGGCCTATATTCAGCCTAGTATCCAGCAACAACTGAACAAACTGCCGACCACTCCCTAGGTTTTAGTAAAGTACATTAGAATAAAAGAAAAATCTTTGCTCTAGGATCATGTTTTGCAAATCTGAGAGGTAATTCTATTTCTAGTATAGAATGAAGACCAGAAAATTGAGCAAGAAAAGAGAACTGAGAAACAGGACAACTTTCTAGCTATCATTAAGTCTTCACAGCATGGCCTTTAGTACTGAGAACTATAAAATCTTACACATCCATTTCCAAATTATATATAAAACAACAAATCCAAAGCCAATACAAATTATTTTTGGATGACTGATGATTTTGCAATCATCTCCTACTGCTCACCTTTATAGCATATGAGCAACATACTATTGCTCATTCTTCACAGCCAGCCTGGGCAGGGTAGCTGGTGGCTTACATGACATACAAGATTCTAGAAAAGGCCCCTGCTCAAAAACTACAATTTTTTCATTTGCTAAGATGACAAATTTCTCTTATGGACATTTTAGTTAATAAGTTTTTATTGAGTTCCTATTATGTAAATACATAAGACAAAGATAAGCATTATAGGGATACAAAACAATTACAATTTAGATTCCTACTAAAAGCAAAATCCCTCTGAAAAAAATAACATTTTAAGCTACTCAACCATTTATACTTCAGGTCTTCCCAGAGAGCAGTTATTTCTAATGGAAGAATATAAGAAAACTGAGTGTCCAACAAAGTAAACAGAACCATACTAAGAGCTTGGCATTTCCTAAGGCTAATGAAAGACATTTTAAAACTGGTTAGCAATCAAACTGTTAAAAACAAAAACTGTTATTTGAGGGGTGGGGAGAGACATAATCGGACTTTTCATCCCAAGAAAGGTCATTAAAGCACCCAAGGTACAATCTGCAACTTTTGAAGAAGTTGAGTCTGTTTATTTTGAATTATGGAAAGATGACTATAAACCTAACCAGAACAATTTGAATTTCAAATTGTCCTTAAAATAATCTACAAATTAAAAATAATGAAAACATGTACTTACATACTTTTAAAAGTTTGAACTTACTTCATAACAGTACAAATGCCTAATACCTTTGAAATGTAAGTAAAAGCCAAATTAAGATTGCCCCAGATAATCCATCAGAACCAACAGCTAAAAGCCATCTAACAAAACATGAATCTTACTCTCTGAAAATGGCATTCTATATGTAGGCAAGATTATTGGTTGTCGAAGCTAGAAAAAAGTAACTACTATGAAAAAAAAATTCTTTTAGCTAATAGTAAAAGCATCTATAATATCAATTTTTGTGGCCATTTAATTACTTATGGCCCAGTGTTCATCTTCACCAAGAAAAACATCTTCCAGGCTATGTACTTTAACTCAGAAAACACATTTAAGTCTGTGACACAAGTTCAATATAAATGCTTTTAAGAGTGCTCGCTTCGGCAGCACATATACTAAATGCTTTTAAGAAGGGCGCCGGGGTGGCTCAGTCAGTTAAGCATCTGCCTTTGGCTCAGATCATGATGGGATCAAGGCCCAAGTTGGGCTCCCTGTTCAGCAGGAAGTCTGCTTCTCCCTGTCCCTCTGACCCTCCCCCCTGCTTGTGCTTTCTCATGTTTTCTCCTGCTCTCTCTCTCTCTCTCTCTCAAATAAATAAAATCTTTTAAAAAAATTTGTTTAAATAAATGAATAAATGCTTTTAAGAAACACAAAAAGCTTGAGGTCATCTACTTTAAATTTTGAAGCAGAATGAGGTCTTTATTCCTAGACAACCAATTGAGGCCCTGCACTAGTCTAAATGGATAATGTACCACTATCATTAATAAGAGGAGTGTTAGGAACACAGGCTATAGAATCAGACTATTTGGTTTGAATCCCACTGCTACCTCTCATTAGCTATGTCACCTTGGACAAGTTACTTTATTACTTGATCTTTATTACCTGATCTGAATTATGAAAATAATGATAGTACTTAACCTCAGAGGGTTGTAAAGATCACATGAATTACATTCAAAAGCACTAAGAACACTGACACTTGGTAAGTGTTCAATAAATGTTAGTTATTATCATTATTCACTGACTCCTACTGGATAGGAACACTATACCCAAGTACTGTGGCAAGCTATAAAGAAAGAGGCATTATTTCCACCTAGGAGATTATAAGTAGAGGGGGAAAAATCATACATACATATATTTTTAAACCATGGAAACAAAAAAATATGTGTGTGTGTATACACACACATACACATACATATCATGGCAATTAGAGTCCTAATTTTACATGTCTAGTGTTTCACTTTTCCACCACTTCCTTAGAAAACCAAATCCTCAGCAATTTCTGAAAGGACAAAAGCTAGACAATATTTGTTTAGCCCCACTGATAGCCAAGTGAAATGATGTCACTAAAGTAAAAAATTTCAATCTTAGCATGTCCTAAAGTTCAGTATTCCATCTTCTGAGGGTACTTCATATTCACACAACCAAACCCATAAATAAAGACCATTCCCTCTGCCAATACCATGACCATAGGAAACATTTGTATTCATCTCCACATTTTTACTTAAGATAATGTAACTAAGGAAATAGTAGATTAACACCTTTATGGCATTTAGAACTATTTTTATATCCAGGACATTATGTCCACTTTAGGTTTCTGTGGAGATTATGTCAAATAATGACACATTTATGATTATATTTATTCTAGAGGGAATACATAAAAACACATTTCATGAACAAGTTGTTCTTCCATGATATCCATACCAATACTATCTCAAATTGTTGCTATTAGTCAGAAATGAAAAGAGAATCTCTTTAAGCCACTCACATCCATTATACTTAGGTGTCTAAGGTTATCTCATTAGATCCTAAGAACATTTTAACAGAAAATAACGCAAGTTTAAGAGAAAACTTCAGGATTAAACATTGTTCCATGAAGCTTAAATATACCAAGTATATCTATTCTTAGAACTACTTAATTCCTCCTATAATCCTCTGATTTCAAAGGAATGGCTAAATGGATTTGTATCCATAATATATTCAGAAATTAGTAGGGAATACTTACTTTTGAAGTGACCTAGTAATAGGAACCATACTTTCCTTCAACTGTAATTTAGAGAAATTATCTTCTGAAACCTATTAAAAACACCAAATATAAAAAGATATTGAAAATATTATGTAACTAATAACTTAAATACTATTTAATATGTGAATAAGAATAAAAAATATTGTCTGCATTTCCAAGGAAATAATTCTAGCAAATAATTTTCAGTGAAGCATTACATATTTTCTCTTTATTCTAGGGGTGCCTGGGTGGCTCAGTCAGTTAAGCATCCACCTTCAGCTCAGGTCATGATCCCAGGGTCCTGGGATCAAACTCTGCGTTGGGCTCCCTGCACAGGGGAGACCTGCTTCTCCCTCTCCCACTGCCCCCCTCCCTGTTGTGCTCTCGCTCACTCTCTCTGTCAAATAAATAAAATCTTTTTAAAAATAAGTATTTTCTCTTTATTCTAAAAATATAACTTAGATTCATCTTTCATGTACACTTTTTTTTTAAAGATTTTTTTATTTATTCATTTGTACAGAGAAAGAGAGAGAGCATGAGCAGGGGGAGAAGCAGAGGGAGGAGGAGAAGCAGACTCCCCGCGGAGCAGGGAGCCCAATGCGGGGCTCAATCTCAGGCCCCTAGGATCATGACCTGAGCTGAAGGCAGACGCCCAACCATCTGAGCCACCCAGGCGCCCCTTTCATGTACACTTCTAAATGTATGTCCAATAAAAATAAAACTTTGACTTGAAATTTTAACTGTAAGAACAAGGTTATGTCTCAATGATGTCTAAAAAAGGACGGAATACACTCTATATGTTAATGTAATAATCATTAAAATAAATAGACAAGACTTAAGTAATATAGTTCCTAAGAGCTGATCCATTCATATGTAATTAAAACTGAATTTCATAAAGCTCTACTGAATAAGAATAAAATAAAACAATGACAATAAAAATATTTATTAAGTATTTACCAGCTATTTTTTATCAGGTGTCAAGTACTATATAATAAGTACTTCACATAGTTTATCTCAATTTATCTTCTCAACCTCATTTTACAGAAGAGGAAGCTGAAACTAAAGAGATTAAGTGATTTGTACAAATATTGCACTTGCTAGTTAAGTGGCAGAATTAGAATGCAAAATCGGATTTAGGAGAATATAAACTCTCTGTAAACACTATACTACTGTGAAGAAAATTCAATCCCTACAGAACAGTAGCCCAAAGCACTAAGAGATTTCCAAGTTCCTAGAAAGTACACAAAAACATAATGGTTTTAAAATAAAATTTTACATCAGCTTTAAGAAGAGCCAAACTCATGGGAACCAAACAAAATTTCAGAAGACAAAGGTTATGTGGAGAAGTCTAAGGTTGAAAAGGTTTCACAGGCCTCCCCAAATATAAATACAAAAAGTTGGATTATACCAATAATTGGGTGCCTGGGTGGCTCAGTTGTTAAGCGTCTGCCTTCGGCTCAGGTCATGATCCCAGGGTCCTGGGATCAAGCCCCGCATCGGGCTCCCTGCTCCGCGGGAAGCCTGCTTCTCCCTCTCCCACTCTCCCTCCTTGTGTTCCCTCTCTTGCTGTGTCTCTCTCTGTCAAATAAATAAATAAAATCTTTAAAAAAAAAAAAAAACTCCTACAATCCTTCCATATTATAGTTGTAATGTTGTAAGATCTAAATAAGATGTTGTATTTACAACCATAAACTAAATAGAACAACCCATTCAGGGGTACACACAACTACAGAAATCTAATAGTATTATAATTAAGTTAATTTCTGAAAAAATAACAATTAGCACAACTCTACAACATGTGTTATGTGGCATGCTTATTAACATATAACTATAGTGGTCAAGCTGAAAAAGATCTAGGAAGAAATCATATCTTCATAGATCTCAATTCACATTCGCAGATCTCAATTCATAAATCAAGTCTGTGCTTACTTGCTTAATCTCTTCTTTCAGTTCTGCTGTTTTATTCTGATTAAAACTTTCTTGTACTGCTTGAAGATTAAATAACATTTGTTTCAGTGCTTCAACAGGACCATGATGTTTCCCTCCAGAAAGGGTACAGCTCTGAGGTTAAAACAGATGAAACCAAGCAATTCAGGGAGGAAAAAGTTATATTTTTTATTATTTTCCCCCAATATAAAATTAGTGCAAAAATTCAAACCGTACAATGTGTTTTGAAAAATCAAAATTGTAACTCAACACCTCCCCTTACCCAGTCCCCAGATGAAGTTACTTACAGACAACCATTATTAAAGTTAGGCAATATTCTTTCTAGTCTCTGCTCTTTTCAAATGAACAGTACACCTTCACATTTGCAATACATTCATTTATACATTTAAAATCATAGATTTTTTTTAGAACTGAAAGATCTTCAGAGCTCAGGTAGGCCAACATGCTCTTTTTGGATATGTAAATGAAGCTGTTTATCAGCGGAACAGGGACTAGAATTTGAAATACGGCATTCTCTAAACACTTTTAAGTATGTTTTCACACAGAGAATGCTAGTTTTTCACTTATTCATTGGCCACACATTCCTTGCTACCTAAAAAACACGCATACCTCAATTATCACTGATCTTACTTGTGTTCAAGGAGGGCAACAGCACTACATAAGGCGGTCAGGACTCTTTTAAGAGAATCTGTGAGGGATATTTTTAAACTTCTTTTTTAAAGTCTTCTTACCAAACTCTTATTTTTACATCTTCCATATTACATACATCTTCAATATTATGTTATATATATTTCACCAGAATTTTAAACATAAAGAAAAATAAACAGGGCTTAAGGATCCAATTAGCCTTGGGGCACTTGGGTGGCTCAGTTGGTTGAGCGTCCAACTCTTGTTTTTGGCTCAGGTCATGATCTCTGGGTCATGGGATGGAGCCCTGCGTCAGGGAGTCAGCTTGGGATTCTCTTCCTTCCCTCTCCCTCTGCCCCTCCCCTCTCTCTCTCAAATAAAAATAAATAAATCTTAAAAAAAAAAGGTCCAATTAGTCTTATACTCCTGACTCTTTTAGACAGCACCTGAAGCATTATCTCTAAATTACCTCCATCCAGCCACTGACTTAGAAGAATTTCTGGCTGCCTGATGCCAACCATAAGGGTTACAAAAGCCTGCCTCTGGAGTGAATTTTTCATGCAAACTAGTGATCAGAGTTCCAAAAAGAAAACTACGAGAAACAGATTATATGAACTGTTTGTGCCATTCACTAATGAATATTTAATAAATGTTGGTATGTCTGATAGAATTTGTCCTGAGACTCATCATTAAAACCTGGTAGTGAGGGCGCCTGGGTGGCTCAGTTGGTTAAGCGACTGCCTTTGGCTCAGGTCATGATCCCGGAGTCCAGGGATCGAATCCTGCATCAGGCTCCCTGCTCATTGGGGAGTCTGCTTCTCCCTCTGACCCTACCCCCTCTTGTGCTCTCTCTCTCTCTCTCTCTCACTCTGTCTCTCAAATAAATAAAATTTAAAAAAAATAAAAAATAAAAAAATAAAACCTGGTAGTGAATGTCTTGGAGTATATCTTTTTATATAGCTCTCTCAGAACTATAGTAATGTTTCACATATTAAAAAAACAAATAATTTAAACGAAATAGGATGTGGTTTAAACTCAATACATACAATAAAAGTGAACCACCTAAGAGAATTACAGTTGAACAATATGACCACAATGAAAGGTGTTGGGAAGAAATAATTAACCAAGGTAACTTTGGAAAGCAGTACTTTGACTGGATATCGTAAGGCTAAGATAAAAAGAACTATACATAAATAATGTGATCTAGTTAGTAAATTTGTTTCTTACAGGCATATGGATTAACAATTGCCAAAGTATGTTTATGCTAAGAATACACAAATAGTTAAGGGATTATGGATAATAGACGGGATTCTCACCAGTGGAAAGAAGTTACAAATAAGGAACAGGAAAGGCTAAAACAAACCCTGAAGGAGTGGACTGGAGTCAGAGGTATCAGTATGAACTCATGATTTTATACATACATATAAAATATACAGATATAGAAATATAGATGTGCATGTGTGGATTAGTTATCATCCATGTTTCATAGACCTGCCTGCTGAGAAAGTCTAGAACGAATAATCTCCCAGTAGCAATAAGCACAACTAGTGCCCAGATCTTTGTTTCTAAATGCCATTTTCCAATTAAAAAAACATGGCCCCACAGACAAGTGCTCCAAAAAAGGATGAGGACATGTCAAAAGGACACAGGGCCAACCTGAAGGAACTCCTTATGGCCAAAACTGGAACAATTTGAGCAACAAAGTAACAACATTTTATTAAAAACTTAGAATAAGTATCTATTTATGAGTCCCTACCAATATAAATAGTTTAATATATGGGGAGGAGAAGGAACAGTTCTTCATTCTACAAGATTTCAATTAAAAGAAGATCCACCAATGGATGCTAAAATTAGTGAAATTTTGAGACTATTTGCACAGTGTCCAAGTATGTCCCCATATTTATTAATTACAAGGGGAAACTGTAATTTTACTAAAGGGAGAGACAGTAGACACTGTAGACTGTAGTGTTCAAGGTTAACATCACAAGTATTAATATATTATAATTTCATATATTATTATATTAACACATTGTTATGGACTGAATGTTTGTGTCCCCCTAAAATTCTTATGTTGAAGCCTAATCCCAATGTGATGGTATCTGGAGAAAGGACTTTTGTGAGGTAATTAGGTCACAAGGGTGGAGCCCTCATGAATGGGATTAGTGCCCTCCTAAGAAGAGACACAAGAGAGCTGGCTTCTTCCCTGTTCTCTGGCATGGGAGATCTTATGGAGAAGATGGCCATCTGCAAACTAGGAAGCAGGACCTCACTAGATACCTTGATCTTGGACTTCTCACCCTCCGTAACTGTGAGAAATAAATGTTTGTTGTTTAAGCCACCAGGTCTATGGCATATTTATTACAGTACCCCGACTAAGACACATGTCAGTAAATCAATGATATCAGTATATCGTGAACCCTCTGGGATCATGCACTGAGAAGGGCATAGCATGATTTCTGTCACATTCTTGCCAAAAGCATAACCTCATTCTAATCATGAGAAAACTTCAGACAAACCCAAACTGAGGAACTATCTACAAAATAACCAACCAACAAGTACTTTTTAAAAAGTGTCAAGGTCATGACAGACAAGGATAGACTGAGGAATTGTCACAGACTGAGCGAGATTAAAGAGACATGACAACCAAACACAATGCTGGACCCTGGAACAGGACATTGGTAGAAAAACTAGTGAAATCAGAGTAAGGTCTGTAGTTTAGGTAACAGAATTGTACCTATCTTAATTCCTTGTTTGTGATCATTATAGTATGGTATGTGAGATGATAACATTAGGGAAGCTGAAAGAAGGGTGATGAGAACTTCCTTTACATCTAAAATTATTAAAAATAAAACAAGGGACATCAAAAACTAATGATGTAATGTATGGTGATTAACATAACAATAAAAAATTTTTAAAAATAAATAAAATAAAACAGGGGAGCCTGGGTGGCTCAGTTGTTAAGCATCTGCCTTCGGCTCAGGTCATGATCCCAGGGTCCTGGGATCAAGCCTAACATCGGGCTCCCTGCTTGGCGGGGAGTGTGCTTCTCCCTCTCCCACTCCCTCTGCTTGCGTTCCTGCTCTCACTGACTCTCTCTGTCAAATAAATAAATAAAAATCTTTAAAAAACAAAAACAAAAACAAAACAACCTGGTAGTGTAGTGAGATTGTGTGTGTACTGGCAGGGGAAAAGGAACCAGCTGGTTAGTATTTAACACTCATCCATCTCAAACTTAAAAGAACCTCTGCAAATTTGTTCCTCTACCAGTGCTCTTTACCTAAGTAAATGCGACCACCCAATCTTTTAGCTGCTTGACTCAAACATCTTGGATTCATTCTTTGAATTGTATCTCCATCCTACTAGGTCTACCTTCAAAATACATGCCAAAGTCTACCCATTTCTGACTACCTCCAATGTACCCACCCTATGCCAATCCTATCCAGAAAGACTACAAAAGTTTCCTAACTGGGTTCCCTGCTCCTTCACCAGCTCCTTCTAAGTCTGTGCTCCACACAGCTGCCATTTTATATTTTAAAATGTAGATCTGATCACTTCATTCCTACACTCAAAACCCTCCAGTGACTTCTCATCTCACCTAAATAAAACATAAAATCTTCATTCCATCACTTATAAGACCCTACATGATCTGGTTCCTGGTTACCTCTCCATCTTACCTCTTACCATCCTTTCCCTTGTTCATTCTGATTGAGCTACACTAATGGACTCTAATATTCCTTGAACATGCCAAATACAATTCTGCCTTGCAGTTTCTGCACTGACTATTACCTCTACATGTAAAGTTATTTTCCCATGTATATTTGGCTTATTCACTCATTTTAGATTTTTGCTCAAATATCAGCTCATTAGAGGTCATTCTTTTTTATTTTTTTATTTTATTTTATTTTTTTTAAAGATTTTATTTATTTATTTGAGAGAGAGAGAGAATGAGAGATAGAAAGCACGAGAGGGAAGAGGGTCAGAGGGAGAAGCAGACTCCCTGCTGAGCAGGAAGCCTGATGCGGGACTCGATCCTGGGACTCCAGGATCATGACCTGAGCCGAAGGCAGTCGCTTAACCAACTGAGCCACCCAGGAGCCCTTTTTTTTTTTTTTTAAAGATTTTATTTATTTATTTGAGACAGAGAGAATGAGAGAGAGAGAGAGAGAGAGCACACGAGGCAGGGGAGGGTCAGAGGGAGAAGCAGACTCCCCGCAGAGCAGGGAGCCCGATGCGGGACTCGATCCAGGGACTCCAGGATCATGACCTGAGCTGAAGGCAGTCGCCCAACCAACTGAGTCACCCAGGCGCCCCTCATTAGAGGTCATTCTTAACTACCCTAGCTAAAATTATACCCTAATTTTTCTATCCCAACTAGTTTTTCTTCACAATATTTACAGTATTCCCTTATATATCACATACAATATTTTTGTTTAGTTTTCTAATTGGAATAAAAAATACAAGACACAAGGATTTCCTCTTATTCACTACTGGGGATACAGTTCCTAAAAAAGTGCTTACTATTCAAATATTTGCTAAAAAAATATTTGATAGGGGTGCCTGGGTGGCTCAGTTGTTAAGCATCTGCCTTCGGCTCAGGTGATGATCCCAGGGTCCTGGGATCGAGCCCCGCATCTGGCTCCCTGCTCTGTGGGAAGCCTGTTTCTCCCTCTCCCACTCCCCCTGCTTGTATTCCCTCTCTCACTGTCTCTGTCAAATCTTTAAAAAAAAAAATTGTTTTTTTATAATTAAGCTTCACTTACCCAATATCTGCTATAGTATCTTACACAAAGTTCTAAGGTCAAACATATCGACAGCCTCTACTTTCTCTAGTAAATTTCACAGAAGGAATTCATTTTATTAAATTTTCAGCTAATCTTTGAGTGTTTAACCTCTCAAATCTTCCATATTTTAAGACCCCAAAAGTATGATTTCAATATTTAACAGCCATGGCTATGTTTCTATGTCAAATGATATATAATTTCTTATGTGCACATATATATATTTATACTTTATTTTAGGGTTACTTGCAAGATGCACATATGCTGATTTTGTAAAATTGGATAATCTTCCTATCTTAAATTATAGAGATTTGTAATTTTCTCTCAGCAATACAACTCTCAATAATCAACCACTGTATGGGAAAATATAACTTACTCTTAGAATGATATGCTTTATATATTGCCCCAAAAAACAAAACAAAAAAACCATGATAATTTAAGCTCTCTGTAGAGTTCAATCCCAGGTCCCTCTACTTTAGAATACTTAAACAAAATTATCAATAATTCTAGGAGTGATGGTTTAATTAACTTGTGTTGAAAAAGCAGGAATTTGGGCGCCTGGGTGGCTCAGATTGGTTAAGCATCTGCCTTCGGCTCAGGTCATAATCTTCAGATCCTGGGATCAAGCCCCATATCGGGCTCCCAGCTCAGCAGAGAGACTGCTTCTCCCTCTCCCTCTGCCTCTGCCTTTCCCCCTGCTTGTATTCTCTGTCTCTCTCTCTTCCTCAAATAAATAAATAAATCTTTAAAAAAAAAAAAAAAGAGGGAATTCTAATGAGGTTTTGTTTTTTAACATCTCAGAAATTAAAATCTGTGTATTAGTCATAAATCCTCTTTTAGTAAGTCAAAAAATCCTCTTTTAGTAAGTTAAAAAGATTTAACCTCACCCACCTGATTATCATTATTTAAAAAATCTTCAAGGAACCCTTTAGCACACTTTGGCCTTGAAGTTTGTTGAGGACTATCATCAGAATTAACAGGAACAGGAGATTTGCTAAATAGGATTTAAGGATACAAGATAGTAATTAAGTTCCCAATTCATAAAATTTAGTGTATAACTGAATGGTTATCATTTAAACAAAAATAGTCACCAAGAAACAACCATTATAGATATGATTCATATTGATTTTGCTTTGTAATTCCCTCATCTGCTCTCTAAACTGATACCAGAATCTAACTTTCCCTATCTCCTGTTTCTCCTTTAAAGCTTTAAGGAAAAACTATGAAGAAAGTAAAAACATTAGTCTTTAACTAAATAAATAAGCCTTCAACTACAGGCTATATTCCAAAATCTTGTTTGTTTGAAATAAGCAGTACATTTTTCCAAATAGACATGGTTTGTCACCCAATGATAGTTAAAAACCCCCACAAATACATGAGTTTCTACTGGAATGGCAGTTACATGCTCTTCCATGTCAAAGCAATAGGACTTGCCCTCCAGAACTGGCATTAACAAAGAGGACAGATTATAGTGGGAAAAAGATCAATTTTGAAATTAAAATTCCGGAGTTCCAATCCCAATCCCAATCACTATGTGATTATATGTAATTTATTTATCTAAATTTCAGTTTTACATTTGTGGTCCCACTTATCTTACAGAAGTACTGCATAAATTAACTCTACGTACCTGGAACATGTAATAGATGCTCAATAAATATTAGTATATTTCTTGATGTTTCTCTTTTTTTTTTTTTTAAAGATTTTATTTATTTATTTGACAGAGAGAGACACAGCGAGAGAAGGGAACACAAGCAGGGGGAGTGGAAGAGGGAGAAGCATGCTTCCCGCGGAGCAGGGAGCCCGAAGCAGGGCTCGATCCCAGGACCCTGGGATCAGGACCTGAGCTGAAGGCAGATGCTTAATGACTGAGTCACCCAGGCGCCCTATTTCTTGATGTTTCAAGGGATAGTAGAGCAAAGGGCAACCCAAGCAAGTCAGAATTTTCCCAAAACAAATTCTATTAGTCACAGAGAATAAATAAAATCATTCTCTCTCTTATTTATATGTCAATATAAAATATGTTTCTAGGGACACCTGGGTGGCTCAGTTAGTTAAACGTCTGCCTTTGGCTCAGGTCATGATCCCAGGGTCCTGGGATGGAGTCTCACATAGGGCTCCTTGCTCAGCAGGGAGCCTGCTCTCTCTCTCTGCTTGCCGCTCCCCCTGCTTGTGTGTGCTCGCTCTCTTTCTCTCTCAATCTGACAAATAAATAAATAATCTTTTAAAAAATAAAAAAAAAATACGTTTCTAACTCAAGTGCTCAGATACCTAAGAATCTTTCTCTAACATTTAAATGTCACAATTCTAATTTTTCTTAGTAATTAACAGTACCTCATTATTGACTCATTCGATATGTAACTTACTATGAGCTTTTCTTGTTCCCAAGTAGTCTTTTTGCCCATTCTTTACCAAAGGAGTTTGCACATCCATCCACTACCATCAAAAAGCGTTTACCAGATTACTGAAGATGAGTGTGGGGTACATAGGGATTCGTTATACTATTTTTCTACTTTTGTATTTCTTTGAAATTTCCCATTATAAAAATGTTAAATAAACAAACAAAAAAAGTAATTATCTGATTGTGGTTGTGTTCTACCTTCTAGTACACTACCTTGAGTACTTCCTAGTCAATTTTTGTTTTGATGATAGATTGACAACAAGTTGTCAACATCACACTGAGGTCAGGTCTAATTCCTTCTCCTCACAGTCCATCATTCATTTTATGTACAAACATATCCATCATAATATGAATTCAATCTTCCAGAAGCCAACTTCTATACACAAGGTACTGGGCCAAACCAATGATTGTAATAATCATACAAGTGTAAATTATATTATCTAATTACATAATACACTACATGCATTCAAAAATTTTACTCTTAAATACCTCTTATACTATCTGCTCACCCATTTTGGTTGCAAGTGAAAGCAAAGTATTATAGTTATGGTACTTCACAAAGACCAACTGACAAGAAAATAAGAAATTAGAAAATAAATTTAAGAATTAAGTGAGCTAGTTATTAACCCAAGTTTTAAAAAATAAAGATACTATTGAACCAACAATTGAGAAATGAAGCTAAATATGGAAAAAAAAATATTCTGGATAATCATCACCACTATTAACAATTACAAGAGAGTTCATCATAAGTCAGAAATTGTTCTAAGTACCTTGTATATATTTTCTAATCAAACGAATTCTCACAGCAACCCCACGTAGAAGAACTTATATAAGGTCTTATACAAGGTAGAAGTAACTTGTACATAGAATTTGTACAAAGCAGTAGTAATTTGTAAAAAGTGGAAGTACAACTTGTACAAGGTGTCAGCAAAGAAGTCACAGAGCTGGGATTCCTAACCAGAATTATATTCAGTGTCCACATTCAAAAAAATAAGATGTTCAACTGAGAAGTGATAAAAAAAAAAAAAAATGGATACAGGAATTAACAGACTCTGTCTATAACAGACTACAACAGAATGAAAGTTTAGACAACAGAAGATGATAAATTATCAGAGCCTAAGGCAGGATATAGGGTTACCAAGAATGCATTTCTGAAGAGTTCAGATGTAATAATATCCCTAAGGAAAAAAGCTTTCCTACCTAAGCTTAATTCTTACTCCACACTCACATTCATAGGTTTCTATGTAAACACTATTTAAATTATTCTGAGAAGCTATGTCATAGGAAGGTTAAGCACACAGATGAAAATAATCTTAGAAACTACAAAAATTTATACCACAGACCATACCAAAAATTGCACCACTGTTTAAGGAAAATAACTAAGAGAAAGTAAAATGTAAATGAAAAGAAATGGATAACTGCATAGCTCCATTTATGGAGAGAATATAGAAGGAGAAAAAACTTAAAGTAAAAAGAAAATAACAAGAATTTCATATCCTCAAACTGCAAAATAGTTGCTCCGGGCTATGGTTCTTCATATTAAACATAAATCAGTATTTCATAGTGCAACACAAGAAACATGTAACAAAGGCGAAAGTTATAGAATGTGCCTAAGGTTATGAAACATTACACCATCTTGTGGTAACAACTGAAAAATGCAATTTAAAGAAACAACACAAAGCAATGTTCTATACAAGTCATTATTATTGTTAATTATCATTGAATTACTTAAAAAATAAATCAGCTGTTCAGATAACATTTTTCATTTGGAAAACTAAGTTTTTCCATCGTAACTTACGTACAAAGTAACAGGAATATTTTCCCATGATCTTTCTGCTTCAAGTTTATCTAATGAACAAGGACTATCATCCTTCTTTGTAGACTTCGGTAACTCTTTAGTACAATGCTCTAGATTTCTCTTGGCCTTCAGGATAAGCAATTCAATTTTGTCACCTAATTTAAAAGATTAAATTAATTCAAGAGAAAAAATAAATACAAAACACAGCAAAATTTCAAAGGCAACAAATAAGAATTTAGATAATTTGGAATATACACATAACTGTAACAATAAACTTTTTAAATATGACATTTCAAAGAGGAAAAGGGGAGAAAAGACATTTCCTAGGCACAAAATGCTATGTAAATGAAGACCATAAGTGTTCAAAAGATTTATCATCTGATCATTACATCAAGAATATACCATAAAAGCTCCTAGACATTAGGTCAAATTTATAGCACTTCCTTTGGTTCTTAAAAACAAAACAAAACAATTACCACTGAATGGCTTTTTGGTTTGTCCTGGGAGAAGTGGATTCTCACATTGACACTGGCTATGTTCAGAATCACATTTATATTCATTAATTAATCCTTTATCATCACTCAAGGAGTCTGAAATGTTTGAGGGTTCAAAAGAATATTCAAAACTATCTAATTTATTCATAAGTCGAGAAGTTCTTTGTGCCTGGTAACTATGTCTAGGGGAACACTGATCTTCTTTAAATATTTTAGAAATCCTTTGACTATTTGTATCAGGTAGCAAGTCTTGATGGTGGAGCCAGACTGGGTATGTGAAATCAGGTAGACTAGTTATTCCTGAAACATTAAGGTCAGATTTCTGGCTAGTGAGCCATCTTGGGTAATTCTTTTCAAGTTTGTGTTCTGAACTGTCTTTGAAAGACAACTTCTTGAAAAATGATAAAGATGGTTCAGAAACCCACTTATTAGTCTTATTCACAAGTTTTGGGTTTTTTAGCCTACCACGTTGCTTTCCATTTATATTTGTGTATACAACAGGAGTAACTAAGTTATCTTTGCACATGGGAATAGAAGGTTCTTGAAAATTTTGATTCTTTTCAGTATCCGATGAACTCAGTCTTCGAATGCATTTCTTGTTTTTCTTGCTAATTCGGTGACTTGATCCAATGCAAGTTAAAGAAAATGATCCATCTGCTGGAAGTTTTAATAGATCATCAGTTGTTAGGCTAATGGAGTCTATGTCATTAACAGTCTTTCTTCTACAGGATGAAGAGGAGCATTTTTTGGGATCAAGATTTTCAAAAGCTGAAAAACAAAGCATAGTTCTGTTTATTTTCCTATATTACATATAACAATACTTCACAATATTCAACAGTAAATAGAATTAAGAATTTAAGAATCGTTTTTGCTGCTTCCCTTTATCTTCACTAAAACTTTGATTGGAAGTATAAAAGGTATAGGTTGATGAAATACAATATGTTTTTCCTCCCATCTCTCCAATTTACTTTAACTAAGTTCTACACTTTTCTCTCAAACTCCTAAATTTTCCCTTTTAATTTACTGTTTCTTCAACTTTTTTCATCTAGACATACCTGATGCACTAATACACTCACATTAATATTGGTCACTCAACACTGGCTGCAACTTAGGAGAAAAATATGCTATTAAACTAGGTGGAAAAATACTTTGCTTTCTGCCTACTAAACCTGCAACAGCATTAACACAGAGAACATCCGTTCTAATACTCTCCCAGAATACAGTGCCCACATACTTCTAAGAGTTGAATGCAAATTTTTTCCATACTAGGGCCATTCCATAAGTACTTAGTAAAGTGTTACCTGGGTTATCAACAGTTGCATTTTCCAAACTTGTCTTTGTGGAAGCCTTATCAAGGAAAAACTCTTAACATATTATTGTCCCAAAGGATACAGATCAGGAAGACTAATAGAGTCTTATTCTGTCAGCTGGGATTAATCAAGTATAAATTCAGAAAGACAAGTTTGTTTAAAGTCATTAGGCTAGTTAATGAAACCTAGAACCACCAAGTCAATGCTGTTTCCATTATGCTATAATAAAATGACTTAAGGGTTTAGGATCAACAACCTGCTGTTATTAGTTACATTCATCACCTTCCCTCCAAGGTCACAAGAAGCTTTTAACTGAAAATTCCTGAGAACCAGAGAATTACAGAATAATTTAAGAAAAATATCAAGACCTCAATATTATAAGGTCATTTTTACCCCAAAGGAACAACAAAAAAAAGTGTCTAGTTTTTCAAGGCTACATCTCTCAAATGCTTTAAATCAGTAGACTAAATAAATAAATAAATAAATAAAAATATAAATAAAAAATAAAAGCATACCATTCTTTGGTTTATAAATATAGTTGGAGAATTCTGGCATATTAGCGGAACGTCTTTCAATGTTAATCTTTCCAGTGCTTGCACCAGGATACATTTGGCTTAAATCAAAATCATCAATATAGGCCTGTAGAGCCTGAGATGCAGAACTATACAGTTTATCCTTATACTGAAACGAGCCATCAGAGTTAGAGGAATTACTACCACTCAGGCTGTAGCTTGCTAACAGAGAAGATACCGAAGATTGCCGAGAACAAACTCTGTGCTTTGTAATTGATTTTGCCATGGCTTCCTCAAAATGGCTTATTTCTATTCACTTCTCTTAAAAACTGTAATACAAAAACAATAGGTTATGGTTCCATTAAAAGGAATAACAGTCATACAGAGAGAAAGTACTAAACATGTAAACTTTTTATAATCTTCTTTAAATAAAATCCATTTCTATCATCCTTTTAAGGCAATGCACATTATAGATTTTCTATTATTGTAATTACCGTAAATTCCTTCATCATTGACTTAGAGACATTTATTGAGTACCTACTATGTTCCTGAAATTTTGTATACATAATTATCTGAGAATAGTACTTGGGGAAGAGTCCTCACTATTTTTAAGCCCTAAAAACTTCTGAGGTACAGTCTTTCTTTTTTTAAAGATTTTATTTATTTATTTGACAGAGAGAGACACAGCGAGAGAGGACACAAGCAGGGGGAGTGGGAGAGGGAGAAGCGGGCTTCCCGCAGAGCAGGGAGCCCGACATGGGCTCGATCCCAGGACCCTGGGACCATGACCTGAGCCGAATGCAGACGCTTAACGACTGAGCCACCCAGGCACCCCTGAGGTATGGTCTTTCTTATGGGGATAGAGTCTATGATATCACAATACCTAACATTCTCCTATACAGAATATTTTTCATTTCATAAGCCTACTATCATGCATTACAGATAGTAGGTACTCAGTAAGTTTTTAAAGGCATCAAATGAGGTATTAGAAACAAGAAGAAACAATAGAAAAGAATATCCACTTTCAATGTTGTAAATGCCAATATGTAACTTTAGCCAACCCTTTCCGCCAGGAAAACTCAAGAACAAAATAATTTACAATATTTAGTATAAAGAAATAAAGTACCAAGTTTACTGAGCTAGCAAAATGCTTTTTCCTAAAACAACATTGCTAATCATTTTCTCACCATTTATGGCAGTACCTTACCATTTCCACTTATGTTAAACAGATTCACCCTCTCTTTTAAAAGAGACTTAGATAATTTGGAAATTGACAACATATTCATCTTAATGTTTTTCCATTACTAAAATTGAGAGAATTCCTGTCTACCTTAAGATAGTAATAGGATCTACATTTGAAAAACTAAAAAATAACAAGACTTCAGTACATGATGTGACATTCTTTTAAAAAATTAAATCAGTGGAAATGGATCTTCTGTATTAAAAATGAAAAATTAATGTCTAGGACTTAATACACCCTATAATGTTATAAAGTCAATACGTTTAACTTTGGGCTATAATTTTGGGAATGTTTAAGTTATAACAACTTTTAATGTAACTTTTAATGTAATCTTAATAACTATCAAATTTGACTTTAAAATACTGAAAGTTTTCCATTTCAAGACAGAGTAAAACATCTTCCTGCCTCAGCTTTTGAGCATGCACTGCCTTGGCAAGAGAGCTGACAGCAGTCAGCGGAAGCAGCAGCAGAACACAGGATAACGGTTATTGAGCCTCTTTGATTTTCCTGAATGCTGGGATGTTGGTAAATCTCTAGAGAATGGCTAGACTAAGTCAGCTTTGCTCTTTCTTTACCCCTTTCACTAATGATGTCTAAATTTTCTCAAGTGAATAACTGCTTGACCAAACATTTTCTCCCTTGTTCCAACACAGTACAGGTCACCAGTCTTATTTTAAAAACAAAAACAAACCTCTAAAAGATAAAGCTGTTGGATTACAGTCCTCAGTAAGTGGGTAATAACATTTATTTTAATTCACAGGAGGCAGAAAGAAAATCCACAATGAATTTTTATTGTGGAAAGCTTCCAAAAGTATACAAAAGTAGAACGAATGGTTTAATAAAACCCTACGCACCCATCATCCTTCTTCAAACAATTACCAACATACCCCAACTTTTATCCACCCACTTCTCTCCACTTCCTCCATAGGATTATTTGGAAACAAATCCAATGTATCTTACCATTTCTTCCGTAAACATTTCCGTTCCTATCGCCAAAAGGAAATCCATCATTCCGAAGAATAAAATGTTAAAACGAACGGCAAAAAATTTCAACTACCTTTGATTCAAAAACAGAATGTTCAGTGTTAAATAAACAATGGGTACAGCTCACAGGAAAGCAACAACTTCCTAGAAACAACAGCTCTGTGATTTATGTTTTGAAACCGAACATTTATTTGTTTATTCTACGACAGAAAGAGAAGAATTAATGAACCCGGAAAGCGAAGATCGCTGGCGCCCCTGCACGAGAGCATCTTTTCCCCACCCCGCGCGTTGGGGTTCAACCCTTCCGCCCTTACCTAGGAAACACCCACCCTTCGGGATTGCAGCACCCCCGGCAGTAACAGACACAGGCGTCAGTGAGGTACTTCCACCCAGAAACCATTTATTAAGCAGCACGCGCGAGCTCCCCCGTGGGCGGACGGAGTTTTTCCGAGGTGACAGTCCCTAAAGCCCAAGCCCCCTCCCACCCCGCCCTCTTCAATTGACGCCTCCAGTCTCCAAATGCCCCTCCGTCTCGTCCGGGACCCTCCCCCGCTCGGGAGCCTCCCGATGAAGATGTTCTCTTCCTACGGGGAAGGTCCGCTCGCGCCTTCCCTCAGGAGACATCTTCCTCTTCCCTCCACGCCACTCTTTTTCTAGCCTCTCCCTCGGGCTGTCAAAGGATGGGGCGCCTCTTGAAAATACACCACCTTTTCCGGCCGAACTCACCGACCAAGGCTCCAAAAGAGATAAAAACGCACACGTCCACAACTCTCCACCAAAAGCCCGCGCCTGTTACCGGACGGAAGACGCGACAAAGCATCCCCGACCCGGACACGGCCCCGCCTCAGGCTCCGCTTGCTCGAAGCCTGCTCCGCCGTCACTGCGGTGCGCGACGCCCGCGCTCGCTTTCAAACTGATCCAACATGGCGCTGGCTTGCGGTGCGCATGCGTGGCGCTCTGCGCCTGGGGCAGCGGGGCGAGGGGCGGGGGCCGCGGGGGAAAGAGGGTGCCGCGGGGCGTTTGGTAGCACTCCATGCTGGGAAATGTAGTTTCTCCCTCCTCATCTTTCTGGGGTGGAGGTGGAGAGGGGGGGGTCTCCGGACTGCGTCGGCGTCGCTGCCCCGCACGCCCTCCCCACCTCCGTCACCGCTCTTTGGGGCCACTCGGCGCTCACGACAGGCTGAGCTTCCCACTGCGGGCTCCCCGGGCGTGTGTGAGGGGATGAGGTGGGGAAGGAGACTCGGGGGCGCTGGCGGCTGCCATGTTGACTTCGGCCTCTCCGCTTTCGGAGCACCCCCTCCCATTATAAGACACCACCTCCAGCCGGGGTTGGAGGGGCAGCTCCCCAGACAACATCCTTCCCTCTCTCCCCAGTGCCTTCCACATCGCATCCCTGCGCCCGGGCCTTCTTGGTCTGGCTGCCAGCCCCTCACTCTCAGAGCAGATGCGGGATTGGAGGAGGGAGTTTGGCCAGGAATGGATTTAACAAATTCCTTGGGGACCTTGATTCCCAGGGAAGAATGGCAGTGACCCAGCACGGATTTGGGGACCCAGTCAGGCAGCCCAGAGAAAGGGAGATTATACAAACAGATGTACAGACCCACTAACAACATGTGTGACTCTGTCTGCGAGGCTGGGACAGGCTATGAGGTGCGAAGAATCCAGTTTCAACCAAGTGGTGTATCAAAAAAAGATGCCATCTCAATATTGGTTTATGTTTATTTTCCACTGACTCTGGGTGAAGATATCCCTGACCATTACTCCACCTGAATATGTTTCCAGTTCATCCGATGTTACATCACCAGGTAATGCAACTGTAGTCTTGCTCTTTATTCTCTTTTCACCCTCTCTGGCGCACTAAACTTAGCCTTTCCTTTTTTCTTAGCAAATGAAAAAGTCCACAAGCCATAAAATTCAGTTAAGTGGCTCAATTAAACATATTTATTGTGGCAGTAAGTGCTAGGGATTTGAAAATGAGTGGAAGTCCCTGCAGGAATTTATACTCTAGTGCTATGTTCCAGTAATTGGTGCCTTTTCTAGATCACTCAATATCAAGCATGTTGCTGATTGGAAATAAAGAACTGAGTTATATGTGCTGGGACAAGCACAGGTCAGGGACTAGCCAAGAATTGTTGATGGCATGAGCTAAAAAAGTTAGACATCTTTATTTACATTCCACCTGAATGTTTTTTTAACCTGTCCTTCTCTAAGATAATTTCTTAAAGGTTCTTTTCATAAACACGATTATTAACATTTCTCTTACTGCCTTTTGCTTTCGCATATATAGCAAATGTTTCCTAATGAGGACATAAAGTAAAAACAAAAGACATGGAGAAAATGTAAAGGAAGTGATCAAATATATTGACTTAATTCATGGATCAAAATAATTTTCCTTTGTTCCTTCACAGGTTAAGGGATATGGAGATCTCCACAAGGATTTGGAGAAGAGTCCCAATAATTATTAAAATTCTGGACTAGATCTATTAGGAAAGGAAAGGAAACCAAACGTCTACTAGGAAAAAGGAGTTGTAATGGTTTTTCTAAAGCTTTTCAAATATAGATGTCAACTAGGTGTTATGCCTTGCTGGAGAACTAAACAAGGGAAAGTGGATTTATGATCCAACTTAGAGCTTTAAGCGAGAGCTAATTAAGACATGGTTCTGATAATTAAACTTTAAGAAGTTTTATTGAGGCAGCTCTTTGGAGAGTTTTTTAAAAGGTAGATTTAAATGTCATTTCAAGAAAAGAAACTAATGTTTCTGATCATCAAGAAGGGGTCCCACACTGTTTCAATCACTTTTGCATTTATTAACTCACTTAATCCTTATAATGACCCCATGAGATAGGTATTACCATCCCCAATCTATACATGTAAAAACTGAAGTTCAAAGGTTGAGCAATTTATTCAAAATAATATAGTATGTGGTGAGTGGCAAAGTTAGGATTTGAATCCAGCTGTGTGTTGTCATATTCCTTCCACCATAAAACCACCCTAAATGAAAACTAGATAATGAACCAAAGGACCAATGAGACTCCAGTTTCTTGAACCCATTCAGAACAGAAATAGTATCTTACTCAACTGTTTTTGCCACACCTACTACAGTACCTAATCACTAGTAAAGGGTTCCATAAATATGTTCATATTGAATTGATTTGAACTTGATCCTGTCTCAAGAGGAAACATTTAAACAAAGACACCAATGAAGAGGAATCTGTCATTCATATTTGGGAAGAATGTTACAAGCAGAGGGAAAAGCAAGTACAAAGATCCTGAGGTAGGAAGATGCTTGGTTGTATTTGAGGAACAGCCAAGTCAATATGATTGGAGCTGAGGTGGAAGAGAAGACAGGTAGGAGTTGCCTTTGGAGAGGAAGCCAAATGTCAGATCATTTAGTCCCATTGCCCTCACTTTAAAAAGACTAATTCCCAAAAACACATGATTAACAGATTATGATGCTTTACAAGAGAAAGGAAGCATGATTAAGCTGTTGGAAATATTAATGATTTATTGAATAACTATTACATGCCAGGCAATGGGCGAGGACATTTAAATGCATTATCTCATTTCATGCTCACATTAATTCTACAGAGTTAGTTATTATCCCAGAAAATGGAAAAATGGAAATATTAATAATGTGGTTCACAACTAGTGGCAGAGACAGGATTTGACCCAGGTCTCTTTGAGTCCAAAGCCTACTCTTTGTACTATACCACATTTTCTCATTTGAATGATTATGAAGAAGGAAGAAGGAATTCATGCATTCATACACTTAGCAATTATTAAGTAAAAACTTAACAAAAAATAAGTAGCTATTGTTCATTATTATGTAACAGATACTGTAGAAATAGTATTAAAATGTAATAGAGCATTTAAAAATTGTTTTGTATAGTTATATTTTTACCAGTTGTCTGTTTTTACAACTTTGCAGGTAGAGGGACTATAAGGCACTTGCCCAAGAAACTGCTCAAGAAGTTTTAGAATACAGTCAAGACACATCAGGCTGGAAAGTGGTTTAGACTTCAGTAAGAAAATAAGTTAAATATGTTTCAAGAGTTTATTTTTTAATGAGAAGTGATTCAAAAAGACTTCCAAAAATATTTTTTATGACCAAAAAATATATTTTTACTTCTTGTTTGTTTGTATTTTTTTTTTCTGTATTTGACAGCTAATTTATTTCTGGATTTTTATTCCCCTTTGAGAAAAAGATAACTGTTTCCAGCAAGGCTTCTAAAAAACTCCATATCCTTTTGATAGTTGTTTTGAATTCAGTGGCATTGATGTATCTAGAATTCAGTGCTGGTTCATTAGCTATAACATTGCTTGTTAGTGATCAGGAAATAGAAATTAATTATAAAGTCACTGGGTTGAAATGTGATATTAATAAATTAGAGCAGTTATGTACCACCTAATCATTTTCAAACTTGACGACAATCAGGAAAAAAAGTCAAGTGAATAATTCATTAAGATAGGAAATTTCTACCTCAAGAAATAATTACTATAAAAGCAGATTGGTATTTTCTTGATCACAGTAGTGTTTTGTAGCCTTTCAAACATTTCACCTTTCCATTAAATGAACCACTAAAAAATAAAGTTTATTTCCCCAATTTACTTCTCTTGCTGATATATGTAATGTTTTCTGAAAGCTGCTTTTGAGGATACTTTTGAGGATCCCGTTATTTCAAATATAACTACACTGAGAGAAATTGTGCTGACATTTTTAATCTTATTCTTAAGAGTTGTTCATTCATTGCTCATGATATCACATTAATGCAAATAGATCATTGTATGTTATCAAAATCACTTTTTTCCTTGTTTTTATCTTTTAGCCTATAGGAGGGGTTAACATAAGCTGTTTATTGATCACAAGTTGTGCTTAAGACCCCCAAACTAGTAAACTTTTTACCCGTTACAGTTAGATCTGTGCATGGCTTACAGACTGTTTTCACAATTCAGCAGTTTTATGATTTTGTCCTGCACTTAGCCAAGGACAGCTAGCTTGGAAGTTCTGTAACCAATCACTCTTCAGAGGGAACAGTCGTGGGCATACAGACATTCTTCCAGAACAGCAGCAGAGAGTATGATTTTATTTTAAGGTGGTCAGAATATATTATGTGTCAGAGGTTATATTTCAGTTTCTTAAGCCAGTAAGACTTCAGCTCTTTGTTGACGTTTTCAGTTTGGAAAATGCTTGTAAGTCACCAACCCATATCTTGCATTGAATGCTTCTGTGAGGGGCAGCCTAGTACATCCAATATGATTGTTCTGAGTAGGGGCAACCTAGTACATCTAGTATGATTATTCCTGAATAAGAGCAGTATGGCACATCCAGTATAATTATGAGTGGGCAGTCTTTCACATTAACTCTGATTATTCCATAGTAGTGGCAGCCTGATACATGCAATCAGAATGCTCTGAGTAGGGACATCCTAGTGTATACACTCTGTTCTGCATAGAGCCTAGTACATCTAATCTGATTGCTCAGAGTAGGCGCAACCTAGTATAACACCCTTGTGATTGATTTAATTAGAGGCAGCCCAGTACATCCTCCTGATTGCTCTGTATGGGGCAACCTAGGACATACAATCTGGTAACTTCTAATAGGGGCATCTTAGTACATCCATTCTGATTGCTCTGAGTAGGTGCAATTCGTCCATCCCTTCTTACTGCTCCTGAGAACGGGAAGCCTTGTACATAAACTCTTATTGCTCTGAGACTGGGCAGCCTAGAACATACAATCTAATTACTTCTGATGGGAGCAGCCTAGTACATGCACTCTGATTTCTCTGGGTAGGAGCAGCCTAGTATACCTCTTTTGTTTGCTCTGAGTAGGGGCAGCCAAGTACATCCCCTCTTCTGTAGGTAGGAGCAGTCTAGTACATGCACTCTGATTGCTCTGAATAGGGGCAGCCTATACATCCACTCTGATTGCTCTGAGTAGGGGTATCCTAGTACATCCATTCTAATTACTCTAATAGGGGCGGCCTAGTGCATCTGCTCTGATGGCTCTGAGTAAAAGCATCCTCATACCTCCATTCTAATATCTTGAATAGATACAACATAAGATATCCACTCTATTTGCTCTGAGCCAGGGCAGTCTACTGCATATACACAGCCTTCCACACCCGAACCCCCCTGCCAGAGATGAGTGTGATCTTATGTTGTTCATCTAACTGTATCTCTCCCTACTTCTGGCTGGTCTTCTTGTGCTTTTGCATTAGTTCCATGTAATTCTTCTAATTGTTCACCAACAAAGTATTTTTTTTTCAAAAATTTCTCCACATTTTGTTCCAAATGAAATCTATTTTCTCAGCCACAGCTGAGATGCTGCCAGCTCATTTTGTCTTGCCTTTGCCCCTGAGCAGAACCTATGCACTATTAATGGAGCTGAGTGACACCTCCATCCATGAGGAGGAAGGGGATGTGAGGGTGGCATTGGGGAGAAATGGTACCGTGACTTCAGCTTGCCCCTCTTGTAGGGGGAGGGGAAATAAGCCCCAGTATATACTGCATTGGACAGAGTTCTCACCCTTTCAGTAAACTCTGGGTGGGGAAAATGAAGCCCCAGTCTTCTCAGCAGTGCCTGCTGGGCATAGAGTATGTAGCATGAGCTGGGGGGTGCAAGAATGAGAGATGTCAGTGTCCCGCCCCTCCTAGGATGAAACCATAGCCCAGACTGGGAGTTAGTGGGGAGAGGGAGGTCCTCTTTGGCTTTCAGGGGTGAGGAGGTGTTGCCTAGAAGTTGATAGTGGCTCATTTGGTACAGACTCTTACTTTTCTTACCTAGATTTAGTAGGCTTTCTTGAATGAATGTTTCTCCATTTCCTGAATGTCCTTAGGTCATTTTCTAGAGAATTTAAATTGTTGTTTCTTAAAGTCATTTCATCAGTTATTTCACTATGGAGGAGGGTTTACTAAAATCCTCACACAGCTACTCTGGAAGTCCCACCCCCAACTCTAATATCACATAGGATATGACAAAAATATGATCACTAAAAGCCTGTCTATTTCATCATCTTACAGATGCTTCCCCAAATTTGCAATTCTAGTGTGCCAAAATAGGCACTTTACATTATTTTTCTCCCCCCCTCATCCTTCTGGTTACTCTTTTGGCATTCATTCACAAAAATCATAAAAGGCTATAAAGTGATTTGGAGACATTAAAATTAGTATGTTGATACAAATCCACACATACTAAAAGGTTTCCATTGCCGCCTCATAGCTTCATGAAATGTATGGTCTGTAAAAAGTGTAACAATGTATTCCGATCTAGCAGTTATTCCATATACCAGCTACAGTTTGTCAGAAACTGTAAAAGACAAGAGAAAATAGTTAAAATATTTTGAATTTGACCTGAGATCATTTCATGTATAATGAGAAAAAAGCTTCATTATAGATCATAGTAAAGTATCTGATGAACTGTTCATCTTAACGATCAATAGATACAAGAATATAGTTCTTAGATTCAAGTGTGACAAAATTGGTATCTCTGGAGAGCCTTGAACACAGTAGATACTAAATTGCTCATTGAGTGATAGGCTCAAGTACTCAAGACACACAAATGTTTTGTGTTTTCAGAGAGGCTTAATATTTACATATTTTTAAAAGCCACTAATATACCTCCAATTAGTGAATTAAGATAAGGTAATTTTTGACTAGTAGCCTACCCTCTGCCCAAGACACCACTTTATCTATGTTTTATAATCTTCCAAAAAGCAAAATAAATAATTTCTGCCTTGTAGTCATATAATACCTGTAACTTATACTTTTCTCACCTTTACAAATGACTGAAAAATAAACAAATCAGCCACTGAGTAGACAGCCTAAACCAGGGGTAGAGAGTAAGTAAATATTTTAGGCTTTGCAGCTGCTACGGTCTCTGTTACAACTACTTAGCTCAGCCATTATAGCATAGAAACACAATACATAAATAGACAAATTTTTGTGCCATTATAGCACAAGGGCACTAACATTAGTAGACAGACAATACATTAATGAATAAGTATGGCTGTGTTTCAGTAAAACTAATGACAAAAACAGGAAGTAGGCTAGACTTGACCTATAGACCATAGGTTGCCAAACCCTGTCCTAAATAGTAGATAGGGAAAAATCACAAATCCTCAAATGTTGATAAACTTATATGTATATTAGGGACCTTTCCCTAAATCACATGAGATAGTCAACATTTTCTTATAAAATAGGCTTTGTGTCAGATTACCGCAGGCGAGGCTAAGCTATGATGTTAGGTGTATTAAATGCATTTTCAATTTAAGATACTCTCAACTTATGATGGTTTATCTCAGTGTAACCTCATCATAAATCAAGGAAGATCTGTATATATTAGTTAGAAATACAAAAAGGTTTTATCCATGGGACTCCTGGGTGGCTCAGACAGTTAAGCGTCTGCCTTCAGCTCAGGTCATGATCCCAGAGTTCTGGGATCGAGCCCCACATAGGGCTTCCTGCTGAGGGAGCCTGCTTCTCCCTCTCCCTCTGCCTGCCACTCCCCCTGATTGTACTCTCTCTTTCTCTCTGGCAAAATAAATAAAATCTTTAAAAAAAAATGTTTTATCCTCAAAGTTTATAGTATAATTAAAGAGAGAGAACAGATTAATAAAAAAAAAAATCCATGGTAGTAGATACAAATCTCTTCACAGTTTTGTACTTAAATTTTAACTGTGTTATATCTGACTTCTTTTTCATAGGACCTGATAATTATTCAGGTTGTTTTCTCACTATCTTATTCAGAGCTTAATAATAAACTCTTAAAAACTTTGTAGATCTGAAGGAAGGAAACATTACATAGTAAGGAAATTTGAAGATATCTCATAAAGAAAATTAAGGACTAACTGAGCTTTTAAAGAGAAATTAACATACAAAGAAATAGTCTAATGAATTCCTTATTTGCCAAATCATAAAAACAAAGTTTTAGAGGAAGAACCATTCATAAATATGACAATTATTTAGACTAATAACAGTATTTGGTTTTTATCTCACTTCCCCTAGGACTTTTAACTTTTTAGAGTTTTTTTTTTTTTTAATTTTGATTTTACTTAAACCTATCCCCTCAGTTTGGAAAGAATCATTAACAGGGAGAAGAGTACAGCCAATACTATTCAGACTTCATTTTTATTCAACAACCTTCTGCTAAATAGTGAGTTTTAATCCAGTTTACTCATCTTGTCTTAATTCCATTGATGGATAACCACATCTAATTTAAGTGATGGACAAACACAAAGGTTAGTTACTTGCCCAAATCCTGACATGTTAAAAATAAATGAAATTCAGAGCGCCTGGGTGGCTCAGATGGTTGAGCGTCTGTCTTCGACTCAGGTCATGATCCCAGGGTCCTGGGGTCAAGTCCTGCATCAGGCTTCCTGCTCAGTGCGGAGCCTGCTTCTCCCTCTCCCTCTGCCATTCCCTCTGCGTGTGCTCTTCTGTCTATCTCTCTGTCAAATAAATAAATAAAATCTTTAAAAAAATAAAAAAGAGGGGCGCCTGGGTGGCTCAGTTGGTTAAGCATCTGCCTTCGGCTCAGGTCATGATCCCAGGGTCCTGGGATCGAGCCCCACGTCGGGCTCCCTGCCCGGCGGGAAGCCTGCTTCTCCCTCTCCCACTCCCCCTGCTTGTGTTCCCTCTCTCGCTGTATCTCTCTCTCTGTCTCTGTCAATTAAATAAATAAATAAAATCTTTAAAAAAAATTAAAAAATAAATAAATAAAATAAAAAATAAATGAAATTCAAAAGTCACTGTCTGTGAATAAGGTTCAATTATAACACAGACATCCTCATTCATTATGTATTGTCTGTGGCTACTTTACTGCTACCCTAGCAAAGTTGAAGAGTTGCAACATAGATCATGTGGCCTGCAAAGCCTGAATTATTTACCATCTGGCCTGAAAAATTTGCTGACCACTGCTTTAGACACATTACATCCTTAAATTAAGAATTGGGTCTAGAAGATACTGAATGTGTGGGGCGCCTGGGTGGCTCAGTTGGTTAAGCGTCTATCTTTGGCTCAAGTCATGATCCCAGGGTCCTGGGATCGAGCCCCGCCGGGCTGCCTGCTCAGCGGGAAGCCTGCTTCTCCCTCTCCCACTCCCCCTGCTTGTGTTCCCTCTCGCTGTGTCTCTCTCTGTCAAATAAATAAATAAAATCTTAAAAAAAAAAAAAGATACTGAATGTGTAACCACACAAACGTCTCATCAATTACATTTGGCTTATGATAAATATGGCAGGTAAATATTTATGAAAAAGATTTTAGAAAAATCCTAAAGGAAAGTAGCCCCCTCTAAAAAGACAACTATAGAACAGTATAAACAAGATTTGTAGAAAAATACATTTTGAAATAACTTATGTTAGTTATGCCAGTGCTTATTTAAATAAACCTGGCTACTTCCAATTGAATATTAGTGTTTTGAATTGCTGATATTACTTTCAAGTGTTCTTTCCTGTTATTTGCTAAATTAACCTACTTTATGCTATGATAGCATTATATTTTGAGCTTAGATGAAACTTGTTAAATTTTGATTTTCTCTGTTTTGTTAACTGCAGATATCGTGTTGAAGGAATAATTCCAGAATCAACAACTAAACTGATTTCCTCTACAAACCTGGAAACAGAGTTGCATGGGATAAATCATTGAAAGTGTATAATATGGGGCGCCTGGTGGCTCAGTTGGTTAAGCGACTGCCTGCGGCTCAGGTCATGATCCTGGAGTCCCGGGATCGAGTCCCACATTGGGCTCCCTGCTCAGCAGGGAGTCTGCTTCTCCCTCTGACGCTCTTCCCTCTCGTGCTCTCTACCTCTCATTCTCTCTCTCTCAAATAAATAAATAAAATCTTAAAAAAAAAAAAAGAAAGTGTATAATATGGTACACAAGATTGATTCAGTAATTTGCTGTATGATAGTGGACTTTTACTGTATCAATATATTTTTAGTTTTATTAGTGATTTAAGTATATTAAACCTGTGTGATGTAGACAAGATGATATAGATACTTCATATTTTATAGGCTAGAATTGAAATCTTCATAAAAGTCTTAAAACTTCCCTCATTATTAGTGAAAAGTTTAATTCCGATTAGCTTGATTCTGTTGTAAAGACTTAGCACATTCTGAATCTAGCTAACTCTTGCAAATGTGTGTCTTTGGTCTTGAGGGGTTTGAACTTTATTCACCTCCTCCATTAGGTGGAAAAAAAGATTAAGCATGCCTTGTTGCTAGGAAGTCAGTAGATTTATCTTAGTTATAATACATTAGATAACAGGAATAATGCAGACATACTGTAGGGACTTAAGAGCAAACAGCATGTAACTTTTTTTAAGAGTAAGGATACAGTATGGAATCACATTATATAGATGGTTGTAGTTTTAGACTTGCTTTCAAATATATTATCTCAAATAAATAGATGAAGAGGAAGTATAAAAACAGAGAAAAGGAAAATACAATTAGAGTAGAAAGTTTAAGAAGTCATAGAGGTGAGAGAAAAGACCGAATTTAAGAGAGAATCAGGGCAGCACACTATAGACCTCTTATTTATTAGGACTGCTATACTTTGGGGCACCTGGGTGACTCAGTTGGTTAAGCGACTGCCTTCAGCTCAGGTCCATGATCCTGGAGTCCCGGGATCGAGTCCCACATCGGGCTCCCTGCTCGGCGGGGAGTCTGCCTCTCCCTCTGACCTCCTTCCCTCTCATGCTCTCTCTCTACCATTCTCTCTCTCTCTCAATAAATAAATAAAAAATCTTTAAAAAAATAAGCTGTTTTGAAAAATTGAGTCATAAAGCAAATTTTTATGATTTTCACAAACAATTGCTTTTGCAAAATTCCAGGTCTTTGGTCCTTTGTGTCTCCAAGCCACATTCCACACATCAAAACAAATGTCCCACATATCTGCCATCACCTTATCATTTACTTAGAATTCTGTAGGTTACCTTTGCCTCCTTTTATTAAATTGAATTTAAAGCTTGGGAGTGGGGAGAGGTTGTAGAAAAGCCCAGGAAAGTAAATGTTTCATTTTGTAGAAAGGTTCTGAAGTTCCTATCCACAAAAAACACCTTTCCATTACCCTCTTGGGATTTAAACATTCAGTTTGAGAAACAGTCCATCAGAAATGAAAATTCAAACATTGGACTGTTTCTTTCATGACTGATTATACAGTTCCATTCATACATCATATATTTCTGCTATTACTGCAAGTCAACTGTAATAATGGAAAGAATACTATATTTGGCATCAAAAAAACCTAGCAACAGATTCAGAGCAATTATGTGATTTGCCCAGGGACACCACAGCCAATATGTGGTAGAACCATGACTTAACACTTGATCTCCTAATTCCAAATTCTGTGCCCTTTCCAATATACTACATATCTCTGAGTAGCATTACACTGTAAGAATATTTTACCTTCCTATGAATGTTCATAGTATGCATCTCCAGGGATGTGTTTTAACTGATTCATTCACCCCCATTAATGAGGGAGGGATTCAAACACATGACATCCCACACTAGACAAATGAGATCAACAGCAGTTCATTAATCCTTAGTCACAGCCTGGGAGAGGAGGACTATTCCAACTTTGTTAAATTGGCATTTGTTAAATGGAGCACAGGGTGCCAGATGGCGAGCCACATTTCAACAAAAGACCACAAGAGAAATTGAAATAGAGAAGTTTATTACTCACAAGTCCTGGAAAAAGTACACGGCACACCTCCAGGAGCCACATGGGGAGGTCAAGACAGGGTGCAGGCAGAGAGGCAGGACCTGAGGCACCAGGGTGCTAAACCAATGTATTTTTCAGAATATATTACCTAGCCAGTGTGAACCGGTAGAAATAGTACTGTCCTGGGAATCAGGAACATGGGTTCTAGTTCTGTACTTATCTCTAGTTTGCATGTGATTTAATCTCTTAGGCTTCAATGTCTTCAACTAAAAATTCAGAGTAGGGGCACCTGGGTGGCTCAGTCATTAAGCTTCTGCCTTCGGCTCAGGTCATGATCCCAGGGTCCTGGGATCGAGCCCCGCATCGGGCTCCCTGCTCAGCGGGAAGCCTGCTTCTCCCTCTCCCACTCCCCCTGCTTGTGTTCCCTCTCTCCCTGTGTCTCTGTCAAATGAATAAATCTTTAAAAAATAATAAAAAAATAAAATAAAAATTCAAAGAATAGATGACAACACGATTCCATTCTGAATTTTCTACACTTACATTAATTCCTTACCAGATATATGATTTACAAATTACTTTCTCCCATTCTGTACATTGCCTTTTCATTTTATTTATGGTTTCCTTTGCTGTGCAGAGCTTTTTAGTTTGATGTAGTCCCATTGGCTTAATTTTGCTTTTGTTACCTTGCACTTATAGATCTAATGATCCTTTAACACTGAAAATGCAAGATGATAACTTCTTATAACTTCAAAGCCCTGCTTTTTCCACATAGTAGCTAACCTTATGCAGTGAAATTCTTTGGGAAATGATACAAAGAATAGATATCAAATAACTGTTGCAATCTTTATGGTTTGATTTGTTCCAGGACACATTCATATGTCATACCATTACACCAAGTTTTGCCATGGGCTCAATTTCCCCCCCGAGACTTTATCGACTTAGTGTACCTCGAGCACTACCAAGGGAATATGGATATTATCAGTTGTAAGTTGAAACATTTTGCCCACATTTTGGAATTAGTATAAGACATTAATAAATGTGTTTTCCTTTAACCCACAGTTTGGAAGTTACTGTGTTTTCAATTAATTTTTATTTTTTTATTTACTTAGTGAGACTGATAAACATATGTATAATATAGACAAAGAATCCTGACATTTTACCCAACACTGGAGGTGCCATTTACATCAGTCAATAATTATGGCATCTCTTGCTTGGGCTTTTTGCAGCTTATACCAAGTAGCCCTGGGTATAGACAGATACTTGCAAAAACCTCACAGCATATATTTTAAAACTACTAAGACACAATCTTTGGATATATAATGTTATATTTGAATCGTGTAGAATGGGCATATTCTGGAACTGATAAAATTCTGTAAGAAATTTCCATTAGATTAGTCTTTATATAAATGTGCTTATATTTCTTTTAGAAATTGAAGGTTTTGATATATCCTTAGCCCTCCCAAAAATGTATCACTATGTAAAATGCAAATGTATAATTATTTCCTAACTTGCTTTATTCACTTAAAACATACCATTTCATACCACAAAGATCTTTGGACTCAGATAAATGTAGTAACTCCTAGTGAAGGGACTTTGGTAGGACAGTGGCCTAGAGCCCTGTTTTTCTCCAGATTTCAATTTAATCTCACCATTCCTATCTGAATAGCCTTCTCTACCGTAAACTTCTTGGGGATAGGACAATTAAGTGCTGTTAATTATTATTTTCCAACAAGGTTTCATTTGCTCTGCTCTGTCTGTAGGACTCAAGTTTCAGAGTCCAGACTGCGTCATCATTCTGCTAACAGCACTCACTTAAACACAGTTCTGTTGCAGCATGCCACCAAGGCCTGAGATTCAGTGCTTCTCTGTAGGCGTCTCTTACAGTTTCATACAGTTGTCTCCTTCTTAAATGAGAGTACATAAAATTTTATTCACCGTCTATAGCACAAAATACTGCATGTCTGAATTATAGGTCTGTTATTTTCTGTATTTTGAAGCAGACCACTTCAATCTCATTTTTAGTGGTCAGAGGGAAGGTAAAAAAGAATTATCGAAGTTAAAATAAACAAATAGTAGTAGTACTCAATCACCCAGTGATCAATACTAAATCTGCTTTAAGCAGTTTTCTTTAAATGAATTTTTGATGAATACTGAGTTTTCTTCTTAATGTTCCCTTTGTTGTTTAACTTACTACACAGCTTGCTTTGAGCTAAATATTTTGTGTGCATTATTTCACCAATGAGGAAACTAAAGTTCACAGAAATTAAGTTACATAGCTAATATGCACCTGAACCAGAATTAAAACTCAAGTCTTCTGAGTTTCCAAAATCTGTGCTATCATACCATATGCCTCACAAAAGACCCATACCTGTTTGTGGAATATAACAACAACAAAAAATTTTAAAGAAAGACAAGGATAATCTCCATATTTTAAACAGAGAAAAAATGTCTTAAAATCACCTCTGGCAGTACCTCTATGCCAACACATTAGGCTCTGTTGCACAGAAAAAACAAATATATTTAAAAAAATATTTTTAGAGTCTATATAATTATCATAAACAATCATAATCAAATCACCTCCCTTTTACATTCACATACAATATAGTTATGCTGCATAATTCCTAAAACAAACTCTACTGATTTGTAATTATACTTTGAATTAGGTACAGTGAATTGGCAGAAAAGAGCATTTTTTTTTTTTAAGATTTATTTATTTATGTTACAGAGAGAGGGCAGGGGGAGGGGAGAGAAAATCCCAAGCTGCCTCCACGCTGGACATGGAGCCCGACCCAGGGCTCGATCCCAGGACCTGAGATCACGACCTGAGCTGGATGCTTAACCAACTAGGCCACCAGGTGCTCTGGCAGAAAAGAGCATTTAAACTATCTTTATTGGGGTGCCTGGGTGGCTCAGTCGTTAAGCATCTGCCTTCAGCTCAGGTCAGGATCCCAGGATCCTGGGATCGAGCCCCACGTCGGGCTCGCTGCTCCTCGGGAAGCCTGCTTCTCCGTCTCCCGCTCTCCCCGCTTGTGTTCTCTCTCGTGCTATGTCTCTCTGTGTCAAATAAATAAAATCTTTAAAAAAAAAACTATCTTTATTGATAGACAAAATAACCATGTCAAATATTTTATTTAGAAAATGATGAACATGTTGGGTGCCTGGGTGGCTCAGTTGGTTGAGCGGCTGCCTTCGGCTCAGGTCATGATCCTGAAGTCCAAGGATCGAGTCCCGCATCGGGCTCCCTGCTCAGCGGGGAGTCTGCTTCTCCCTCTGACCCTCTCCCCTCTCATGCTCTCTATCTCATTCTCTCTCTCAAATAAATAAAATCTTAAAAAAAAGAAACCTTTAAAAAAAATGATGAACATGTTGTATGTAAATGTTGAATCACATATATTGTACACCTGAAACTAATAATCCACTGTATGTTAACTAACTGGAATTCAAATAAAAACTTAAAAAATAAGTAGATTAAAAAGGATCTAATCTCTAAGAAATAATAAATAATGATTAACCAAAAAAAATCTTATAAACCCACTATCCTAATGAAATAGTCTTTTCCTTTGTGATTTCTTCTTTTGCTCGAAATCTCAGAAAGTAATTAAATGATACTTTTAATACTTTTTCTTGTATGTAAAGGGTAACAGCATCTTTAGAGATAATAGCATGAGAAAATTTGAGAGGAATTTTCAAATTTTCAAATTTTCAAAATTTGTGGCTATATATGTTCTCCTCTGCAAGAGTAAGTGTTACTTGCATTTGTTTATTTTATTTTAACAAGTTTTTTAGTTCAATTTGTCATTTCTACTAAAGGGTTCCTAACTCACTGGTAGGAGTGTGTGCTAGCGTACTGTTAGGGGAAAAAAATTGCCCCTAACCTAAATGCAATTTAAAAAATTTTATAAGTATTTTCATCATCAGAATGGACAATTCCCTAAAAAGTATGATTTGAGGTCTCTGGGACTAGTCACACATACACATTCCCTCTATCCCCTCATCCCCAGTGAATCTTAACCTGATGATTTCTATTTCTCCATTTGAGTTACTTCTGTGAATTATTAAGGACTTTTTGTAAATTAAAAATACATTTCCCTAGAATTATAATACGCTCACATTTATCAGCAATGAATGCTTTACCTTAAATGAATTCTTTCCAGCGGACTACCTACAAATACCTGCAGAATGAGACCTACAATAGGTACATTTGGAAAGAGCTAGAGAAATCAGAGTAGTCACTGCCTATAAGTAACCAGCCTAGGGATAAATGGTAACATAAAATACACATATTTTGTAAGTGTATGTACATTAATTCAATGTATATCATTTCACAAATTCTTTAAGTTTTAGTTTTTGCTAAATGATATTATACAAGTAAAAGATATTGGCACATAAAAACATGTAAAATTTTATATTGGCCAGATAAAAACCTCTCAATCAGAGGAGGAAAAAAAAAACGTGAAGAAAGTCAAAATAAAATTACATTTTAGACTGTATTCCTTAATGTTTTCTCTACTGAATTAGAGAACTGAAATTCACAATTACGTACATTAATGGACAGGATCATTGGTGCAGATGGTAACAATGGTGGTCTTTCCACCCACCTGTCAATTTTGAATCTATGGTCAAGACTTTATTCTCCACAGCAGGAGGAATCAAAACAAGGGAAGGATTACTGCTTCAGATCAGTTGGATAAATCAGTGGTTGGCAGGGACTGTAGTTGGGAAGCCACACATTCTGATGTGTGTTTCACAGGCTAAGTCTCCTTCCTGCATCTTGTCAACTTTCCCTTTCCACTGCAAAAAACATGGGACAAAAGCTCTGATCTAGACATCCCATCTAGGGTGGGAACTCTGCTTAGCATCCTGTTAGAGGAAAAGATACAGTCTCATCCATAGTCTCAGAGAAAGGTACTGACAAAAAAGTGACTCTTTTGTATCTTCTCTTTCCATGCAGCACAACATTTTTGGGCAGCCAACATTTGTAAACAAGTCATATAGTAAACTTATAAAATTTATTATCAGTAGTAAAGGTACTGTTTAGTAAATACTGGAAAGATCTTCTGAAGCATTTAAAGCCCTAGCAAACTTTAAGACCTTTTCAAAAGCTAGTGAATATTCTCAATCTAGCTGCCTGAGGCACTGTGAAAATAGTCTAAACTCCATAGACAAGAGTATAAGAAAATGGACACAGGGTTTGTTGGAAGAGTGGTCTTCATACCCCCCAAAAGAATTTTGTAAAACTGTACTTTGCCTTGCACATTTTTAAATTAATATTAAAATTTTTCATAGGATTAAGAGGGTGCAATTTTCAGCACTCTAAATATTGACACTCTAAAAAAAGTGTTATATCATTCTTGTAAACATATCCAATAAACTCTGAATACCATAATAACTGGAAACCTACCATAACTATCAATTTCAAAATACATACAACCTCTAACAGTCAGAAATTTACATCATTGATTTTCTCCTTGCTCCCACGTTCTTACTTTTTCCCCCATATAATTTAGTCCTAATAGAATATATTTTATGGTTTGAATTCTTTTATTCTTTTATTAATCACCCTGTCATTCTTCTTTGAAAAATTAAGTGTTTAATTTTAAAACTCCATTTTATTTCCTGTGACCTTAAGTATCTAAATGTTACAAAATATATGTGTGTACTAGATTAAATTATTATTACATGATCAAAATAAAAAATATATTACCAAATGTTACATAACTACTAAATATAAAAGCAAACTTAATGAAAACACACCTTTTATTATTAGCAAAACTTAAATAGCACTTACTTTGTGCCAGGAACTTTATAAACAATTTACATATATTGATTCATTTGGTCCTCCCAATAACCTCGTGAAGTAGGTACTACTATCTCCATTTTGCAGAAAGAAAATGGAAGTCCAGAGAGATTAATTTTCTCGAGGTTAAACATAGGTAATAGCAAAGCTCAGCTTCAAACCAGTGCAAACTGGTTCCAGAGTCCATGCTTCTAACAATTACAACTCATTTAACTGTGTATTGATAATACTAATAAAATGAGATAGCACTTACTATTGTCTACTCTACTTTGCATTTTTATGAATGTAAGCACTGAGAAAATGTTTGCATAAATAAATGGGTTAAAATGAAAAGAGTGTAATTCCAGGACTTTCATTAAATGCCTTGAATTCTTTTGTGTTATGTACCATAAATTACATAGTGACCTATAATCAAAAACTATTTTTAATGACCTATCAGCTGACAACTAAGTTAGATCCTTAAATTCTATTGAAAGCAAAGAATTGACGACATAATTTGGTAAGGATTTATTACCCAATCACTAGTCATTCACTTTCTGTCATTCACTTTTTTATATGCCAGAGTACCACTTTTTTATATGCCAGTATGCTAAAGTACCATAGTATTCAGGGAAGATGACAGTACCTTTGTTCTGTAAAGCAACAGAAGGATGATATGAACAGGCTAGTGGAAAAGGAGAAGCCTACATTTCCATCAGAGATGGACTCAGATCAGTCTAGGGAAAAGGTACATATGGAAGTTAGAGATTTGTAAATTTATTCCTTTAAATGTTATTCATTCTCTCATACCCTTTGGAAAGTCTTCACATACTCCAGTTTGAAGATTACTGGGTTAGAATATAAAATACTACAGTCCTCCTAATGTCATTTGGAAAGAATATTTCAAAATATTAAATGCACAAAACCTTTGACCTAGAAATTCCATGTATTTGTAGAAGTGCAAATGGATACATTACAAAGATGTTTTATTGCAGCTTTATTTATAGTAGCAAAAACTGAGGGAAAAACCCAAATGATAATCAATAAAGGATTGATTACATAGAGAATGAAATACTATAATTATAATACAGTCATGAAAAACAAGCAGATACGTATGTATCAACAGAAAGAAGTGCATGATATTCTTCTACGAGGGAAAAGAAAGCTAGTTGCAGAAAAAGGTTATCTTGTTTTTTAAAAAACGTGTGGGGTAGGTATACATATATGTATGCTATCTTTGTATATACATAGACAATAGTCTGAAAAGATACAGACGAAAGTATAAATAGTGATTAGCTCTGGGGAACAGGATAATTATGAAAATTCTGTATTGTTTAAATTTTTATAAGCATACATTACTTTTGTAATTTAAAAAAGTTAACAAAATGGCAAAAAGGAAAAGCTGACTGAAGACTGTAACGTATAGTCTGACTACTTAATATTTCTAGGTAAAATGTTTATGAGTGCAAATCACTCTGCCCTTTTTTTGTACCCTTCCTTCCCCCCTTCCTTCAGTAACTGTTTGTCCTATCATCAGCACTTTGGAGGGAATCCATGGTGAATGAGACAAGAATCCTGCTTTCTATAAAGTTATAAATTCAATAGATAAATCTAAAAATCTTTATATTTTTTAACTCTTCCTTTGTTTACAGGAACCCAGCACATTCCAAACTAGTGATGTTTATCCAGACAGAAATGAGAGGAAAATTGTCCCCATCAATAACTGAAGCAACCATGCCTTCCAACTTAGTAAGCTTTGTCCTCAATGCAAAGGATGGAATGCAGCCACTCAGCTCCAGTAGGACGTGGATACCATCATAGCGATCACTCATCATTCCTAAAGGAGTGAGGCCATAGAAGAGCATGTGTGGCAGTTACTGCAGTTTACTTCCAAGTCAGTATGCATAAATACTGTTACACTATTCTAGACTGTATCCTTGTACAAATTACTGAAGGCATTCTGTGGAAGTAAGAACTCATAGTTGTACAAGAGAACAGCATTAAATATAGTTTTTAATCTCATATAAGGATGATGTTAATAACAAATGTTCTTTTTTTAAAGATATTTATTTATTTGAGAGAGAGAAAGAGAAAGAGAGAGCACATGAGAGGGGGGAGGGTCAGAGGGAGAAGCAGACTCCCTGCTGAGTAGGGAGCCCGATGCGGGACTCGATCCCGGGACTCCAGGATCCTGACCTGAGCCGAAGGCAGTCGCTTAACCAACTGAGCCACCCAGGTGCCCAATAACAAATGTTCTTAACGCACTTCTATCTGTTGTTTTTTTTCCCCTAGAAAAGGCTCTGCAAAAGGATCAGTAAGAAAACATACACAGAGGTCAGCACTAATTAAAAATTAAAATATATTTTAAATTGTTCTTTCTTTGCTTACTGCTTAAACTGATCATTTACAAATAAAAAGATCTTATGATCTCATAAAAATTGAGAAGAATTCCAATAGAATGTATGAAGAATGATATCTAAAATTTAAAATTGAATGAATCATGAATCAGTTTCTGGTTCTGGCCAAGATGTAGTAACCCATTCCTCCCAAATCCTTCCTCTTAAAACTAAAAGACTGTGCATATAAGTATATGAAGATTCAAGCATATGTAGAAAGAAGGAGGCAAACTGCCTAGGGACCTTAGGACTTGAGGAATGACAGCAGTCATTGTCAGGGCCTCCTTGTTGCCTTCCATATATTCCAAACAGGAACCTGGAACCACCATCTGGCAGGAACAACAACAAAAGCTTCTTCCTCATAGCTTTAGAAGTAACTATGAACAAAAGGGTGGCCTAATGGAACAAAATCTACAGCAGCCTAAAACTGCTCCCACTCACTCTGGTTTCAGTGGGGCAAAGTAGAGAGGTGATCTTATACTCCACCTTGTTTCCATCCCACAGAAGCAGGTGGTGGTGCTCTGACAGAGTTGAGCAGAAGTAGCACTATGCCTACTCTTCCAGGTGGTATAGGCTGACTAAGTAGGGAGCTGATTTTCCATCTTCCACCCAGCAAAAGCAGGTAGTGGTCCTTTGATATCCCTCCTGGGGTAGTGTCAGTTGGGGTCCTGTGTCCCCCACTTAGCAACAACAAGACTTAGCCAGCTAGTGCAAAGAAGTGTGGGTCACTATTCACTTCACTGCCCTTCCCCGATCCCCAGTGTCACCAAGGCCCAGCAGGATGCTGCACCTCCATGCCCACCCAATGCATTCCAATGGTTTCCCCTCTGTAGTGTGTCGAATGATGGCCTCCAAAAAATATGTCCTTGGCAAATCCCTGGAACCTTGAATGCGAACTTCTTTGGAAAAATGATCTTTTCAGGTATAATTAAGAACCTCAGAACAATATCATCCTGGATTATTTGAGTGGGTCCTAAATCAAACCTAGTCATTAAGTGTTTTTGTAAGAGATGTACAGAAGAGAGACACAGTGGAGGAAGCAGAAGAGTCAAAGATTGGAGCTTTGCAGCCACAAGCCAAGGAACACTTAGAGCCACCAGGAGCTGGAAGAGGCAAGGAGGATTCTCCCCTAAAGCCTTCAGAGTAGGCTGCTGACACTTTGATTTTAGACTTCTGGTCCCAGACTACGAGAGAATAAATTTCTGGGTTTTTTAAGCCACCAAATTTATGGTAATTTGTTACAGTAGCCAATGACTTTATTCAAAATTAAAAATGTATACTCTAGGAAGGACCCTGTGAAGAAAATAAAAAGATAGGCTCCGGCCTGGAACAAAATATTTGCAAGATATTTCTGTCAAGGACTTGTATCTAGAAAATGTAAAGAACTTTGAAAACTCAAACCCAACTCCTTAGATGCTGGTCTCCCTAAAACTCTGCAGATTCTGAGTATTTTTCCTTTTCTAATAAAATTTTCAAAAGACATAATGAAAGATGCAATTATACTGATTTAGAATGCACCTTATTTTATGAATATGCCACTTTTACTATTTTCCAATTTAGACTGTACTTTCAGAATAATGTGAGCCTTTTAGCCACAAACACACAAATCACAAAATTACACATTTTAATACAGCACATTTTTCCAAGGAAGATAAATGATTTTTGAAACTGTTTTCCCCATTACACAAATAGGAAAATAATATATTTAATGAACTTGTATCTTGTTTAAGGTAAAATGTAAATAATACCAAAGAAATAATACTGGGGCGCCTGGGTGGCTCAGTCGTTAAGCGTCTGCCTTCGGCTCAGGTCATGATCCCAGAGTCCTGGGATCGAGCCCCGCATCGGGCTCCCTGCTCCGCGGGAAGCCTGCTTCCCCCTCTCCCACTCCCCCTGCTTGTGTTCCCTCTCTCACTGTCTCTCTCTCTCTGTCAAATAAATAAATAAAATCTTTAAAAAAAAAAAAAGAAAGAATACTAAGTACTGGATCTTTGATTCCTTCTCCTTGTCCTGTTGTTATCCCTATATATTATGGTGTTTTACCATCTTGATTACCACTAAATAGCTAGGAATTTTAGAAGGTACCACCTATAATAACAAAAATTCCATATAAAAGGTTGATGATAACACTGTCATCCAAATAATAGGAAAAATAAAAATAGTTTAGCAATTCTGCACTAATAAGTGTTGGTGAGGATGTGGAGAAAAGGGAAACCTTGTGCACTGTTAGTGGGAATGCCCACTGCTATACGCACTATGGAAAACAGTATGGAGCATCCTCAAAAAATTAAAAATAAAATTATCATACAATCCAGCAACTCCACTTCTAGGTATCTTTCCCAAAGAAAATGAAAACACTAACTTGAAAAGACATATGCACCCCTATGTTTGATTGCAGCATTTATAATAGCCAAGATATGGAAGCAACCTAAATGTCCTTCAAGAGACAAATGGATAAAGAAGATGTGGTATGTAGGGTGCCTGGGTGGCTCAGTTGGTTGAGCGACTGCCTTTGGCTCAGGTCATGATCCTGGAGTCCCGGGATCGAGTCACATCGGGCTCCCTGCTGCGCAGGGAGTCTGCTTCTCCCTCTGACCCTCCCCCCTCTCATGCTCTATCTCATTCTCTCTCTCAAATAAATAAAATATTAAAAAAAAGAAGATGTGGTATGTATATGTACAATGGAATATTACTCAGCCAAAAAAAGGGGGGGCATGAAATCCTGACTTTTGTAACAACATGGATGGACCTAGAGGGTAATATGATAAGTGAAATAAGTCAAAGACAAATGCCATATGATTTCACTTATATGTGGAATCTAAGGGGAAAAAAAACAAATGAACAAACAAAACAGAAACGGATGCATAGATACAGAGAACAAATTGATGCTTGCCAGAGCAGAGGACATGGAGGAATGGACAAAATACGTTAAGGGAATTAAGAGTATGTATAATCTCCCAATTATAAAATAAGACATGGAGATGTAATGTACAGCATAGGGAATATAGTCAATAATATTGTAACAACTTTGTATGGTGACAGGTAGTAACGAGACTTATTGTGGTATTTCATAATGTATATAAATGTCAAATCACTGTTACACATCTGAAACTAACACAATATTATATGTCAATTATTCTTCAATAAAAAAATAATTTTTTGACCAGTTTCTATTATCACCATCATAAAATGAACTGGGATATAAGGATAAATCTGAGGTTTATCCAAAAATATTACAATTTTGTTTTAAGAATTTAGAAGTCAACACTTTAAAGTTTGACAGAGTGCAGGGAAAAATAATTTCTCAGTGTTGTCAGCTACTAGACTAAACCTGCAGACACTATACATATTTGATACTATAAAACACACAAGTTCAAGTGGCAGTCTATAATAATCATTTTAATAAGTTGTTTTAAATTTCATCCTCCATTTAAGGGTTGTTTTGGGATTTAATGGGTCAGAAGAAAGTATGTTTTCACTACCACTTTTTTCCCTAACACTTTCTTTGTATATTTTGTGATGAAGAGGATTCATCAAGTATATTATAAGAAATTATTATGACTACCAATTACCACAATAATAATGTATAATAGACAATCACAAAACCTCAGGGGCATGTAACTATTACCTTTATTTATCTGTTAAGGTCTGTGGGTAATTTAGGCTGGTATCAGCTGGGCTGCCTCACAGGCCCAGCAATTGATTTTAAGTCTTCTGAAAAAGGATGGACAACTGGAAAGCTGGGCTGTGCTTCCTCTCATCCTCCAGCAGCCTAGCCCAGGCATGTTCTAATGATGAAGGCAAAGGGAGGAAGTGGAAACATTGTGTTTTTTCAAGTCTAACATCCCATTGGCAAAGCAAGTCACATGGCCAAACTTGTAATCAATAAGCAAAGAAATTAAATCTGACCTTTTAGTGAAACTGTAGAGTCAGATGGTAACAGAGTATGAATACGAGAGGCGAAGTGAGACCGTTAATGCAACTGTTCTAGGACAGTTCACTCACTCTCTGGCCATAACCACATCCCTTCCACATGCAAAATACATTCACTCATCCCAGGAACCCCGAAGTTCTCATACAATCACAGCATCAGCCCTCAAGCCTAGGATTTCATGATATATGTCAGATCCAGATGCAGCTCCTCTTGATCCAGAGATCTATGAAATAAAATGATAAGATGACAATGCCCATCTGCCTACACACACACACACACACACACACACACACACACACACTATAATAATTAAAAGAGAATAGAATAACCACAATAAATAGTTCGCTGGACAGGGGGAAGAAATGGAAGCATATAGTCGCTGGTTCCTAACAATTCTGATCACCTCCCGGGCCCACCTCTCTGGCAACGGGGAAATGTTTCCTGATTGGAGCCTAATCTCTAATTGCATCCTGGGAGTTGCTCCCTGACTCACTGCTCTCCACAGCTTTTGGTTATACTATCTGAGATGTCATGTCCCTCTTTTCCCAGCCTTGGTAGCAGCTGAGTGACTTTCTCTAGCTGCTTCCTGCCAAAGACAGCCAAGGGCCAAGAGACATCTTTATAGCAGGATCACCTTTTAGTTTAGCCCAAGCAGTTGCTGTTTTTGCTAGTACCACTTTCTTTAAAATTTTTGAGCTTTCTTGTCTGGTTGTGGTCCATCA